CAGGAAAATATATTTATACAAGGAAAATGACCTTTTTTTTGATATAGATGTTGGAAATCGGGAAAAGCTTAATTCGTGAAAGGCAGTTTGCTTTTTGAACAAGAAATTTCATGGTGTGACGTGAGAAAAACCTATTTACCTTCATACCACCGAGCGACAGCTTTAGAATTTCCGCTAAAAAAAAGAAAAAAAGGGAAGATGAAAAAAAAATTGTTTGTACGTTAAAAAGAAATGAAAAGTAAAGCTTTTGGTGGCAAAGTGAAAAAACATCGTTAACATCTTATTTCGCGCTTAGATATCATCAGAGAAAAACGTTAATATAATTTATTCATCAAAGAGATAAATTTTTTTTGTTATTTATTGGAGAATTTATTAAAACATATCAATATTATATTGAATTCACCTTTCTTCGAACAGAAATTATTTTTAGTTTGACACCATATACCAAATTTCAAATAATCCACATTGTGTCAATCAAGAATTAATAAGTTCAAATATATATATAAATAACAGATAAATTACAAATAAATTATATCGAAATTTCATTTTTCTTGACAGGTAAGTAATTGACAAACGAGAAATACAATTCTGCTTAATTCTCATTAAATTAATTAATTAGCCGATTAAAAATTCGATATAATTTATTACAATTGTCAATAATTAAGTAATGCTGTATTATTATTAAAACTAATTACATTAATTATTATAAAATTAATTATTAATTATTATTATTATTATAAAAAAAAATTATAAATTGCGAAAAACATTTCTTAGTAATAAAATGATTTTAAAAAATGATTAATTAAAACAAAACAAATTTTGTTTTCATTTTTTTTTTAAATATTTATAAAATGAAATAAATTCGAGAAATTCAAAAGGTGTGGAAGTTGGATAAACCGAGAAAGTCAATACCTATAGCAGCGTAAAGTTTTTTTTTTTCTCAAAAAGAAAAACTTACAAGTTTCTTGCATGTTTGTAAAAAAAAAAAAAAATGCACAATAATTGCACGCTACAGGTATATACGGAAATCGGATAATAACGAAATTATTCCGGTGACACGAGAATAACAGATGGATTGCATGCAGATGATAGTCTCTATGTGAACTGATGTGAACAACTGTAAAATACGAGTAGAGGGAAGAGTTGACAAATGTTTACGATGTGAACTACACGCAAAATCTATGTGTTTCGTTTGTCATTTGATATACCAGAGAGAAACTAAATTACCAATTTTTTTCAAATATTTTCCATCTAAAATCTACAATATATCAATCAACCTAATTAATATGTTAATTAATTAACTATTCACTTCAATAATTAATTAACAGAATAAACTTTAAATTAAAAAAAAAACCACAAACAAATATTTAAATTCAAAAAAGGAAACTGCAAAAAGTAAGAATTTTTTGTCTATAGAAAAAAATTTAGAGGTTTTCAAAAAATGTTATACACCCCTCTTTTTTTTTCATCGATCGTTTGGGAAAATAAATTTATTTCTAATTCATGAGACGAGGGTTAGAAATCTCATTGAAAATTTAAAGAATTTTATTTATTGATGAGATTTTTTTTTTATTAAACCACCATGTATATTCATTTATTTTTCTTTTTCAAAAAAAAAGTGCAAACGACATAACATGTAGAATTTTTTTTTTTTCCTATCAAAGGTTGTTGAAGTATTATGCAAGTAGCTATAAAGTAAAAAGAAGGAGTATCTTTCTATAACTCACGTTTTCATAAAGTGGAAAAAAAGAGAGAAGGGGAAATGAAATCTTATGTAAGATAAAAGATCGGGTAAAAATGTGTCTGACTAAAATTTCCTTCTACCACTTGTACAATCAATGGAGAAATTTAAATCTTTTGTCTGACTAAAACTGACGTTCACTACTTTTGCGAAATTACTGTTATATAGTAGTGAGAAATATGACACGCATTTAAAACGTTATGTCTGACTAAAATTCTCTCTTACTACTTATAAAAAAAATACAATCGAATTTTACAACAGGAAATTAAAAATAAACTTTTTAAAAGATTTGCCAGACTAAAATTGTCTTTACTACTAATAAAAAATTACTAATTTTAATTTTGTCTGACTAAAACCACCTTTTACTACTTACAACAAAATTATTCGTTTTTAATTCTAAAATATTACTGGCAGAAATTTTTGAATAGTAAATATATAAAAATTATGTTTAAAAAATTATGTCTGACTAAAACTGACTGTAACTACTGAAATTAATATTCCATGATCTTACAGCGATCAGTTTGCCTATAACTGTCCTTTTTCTACTTTGAGAAACATTACTAGAAGTATATCAATTTCTGTCTGACTAGAATTGACTCTAACTACTGAAATTAATATAATACGAACTTAAAATAATCAGTCTGACTTTGAATGTACTTTTTCCACTTTGAGAAACATTACTTGAAGTATATCAGTTTTTGTCTGACTGAAATTGACCCTTACTACTGAAATTAATAGAATACGAACTTAAAATAATCAGTCTGACTTTGAATGCACTTTTTCTACTTTGAAAAAAATTACATGACTTCAATCAGTTTCTGTCTGACTAAAATTGACTCTAACTACTGAAAATAATTTTCCATGAACGAAAAACAATCAATCTGACTATAAATGTAAAAAATGTCTCTTTTTAATTTAAAAATATTTTTAAATCGAATTTCTTCAATTTAAAAAAAATTTCCCTCTACAAGAAAACTATTTTTGCATTCTGTACAAGATTTGAATTCTCATTTCTTTACATAAACGATGTTCTCATTATCAGTAAAATCTTTATATATAGCTATATATTTTAGTTTAACTCAACAAACTTCAAAAATTTTATTACCATGCCAATAAAACTTGTATTACTTTCTCTCTCATATTGATCCTAGTTTCGAAACTATACAATATTGATGAATAAAGTCAGCCACCAAATGAAATTTATTCTCAAAAACTCTTCCCCCACATATGTGCATTAAAATTTTAGATTTTCAACATCCTGATTTTGAATATGCAAAACTTTTCCATATAATATACATTGTTTAAAGCAAAAATATTAAAAAAAAAAAAAAAAAAATACACCACATTTTCATAATATTGCTAATAAGCTATTTTACCTTAATATGGAAAATATGTGTTTTTTTTAATAACAAAACAAGAATGTATTTTCTCAAAATAATTAACCTATTTATCCTTTCATCTGTGTTAAATTAATTTAAACAAAAATTTTCATAAAACAACATAGATAATTAAAGAAAAATTATAATTTTTCAACACATCAAAAGAAATTTAATTTTCCTCCTTTTATTTATAAATGATTATTAAAGAGAAATTTTTTTATGTTTAATAAATGCGAGGTTTTATAAAAAATGTATGATAAAATTGTGTATTAACTAAAAGTGTTATTTACTAACTTATTATTTAACTCTTTTTGTTTTTAGAATACTGGGAAAAAATCTCGAAAAAAAATCTCTAAAAAAAAATTTGCATTGCATTTTATATTAGTATTATTTTTAAATGAAGCAATGCGCGAGATAGAATTGTTTTTTCGCTTCGTTTTCGTGTTTAAATAAATAATTTATTATCATCATTGACAAGTATATAAATAAATAACAAAAATTACCATACCAATGAAACAATGAAACATTTTCCTAAGGGGAAATAATTTTCCAACTTGGCTTGCACAGAATAAGAAACAGAATAGGTAAATATAGTACTTCAGATGCTTTCACACGTTCCTTACATAAGGTAAAGTCATCTTAATGCCAGGATTCGCTTATAAAGGATTAAAATGTTCTTCTATGCATATACATACACGTTCGCATAGGTATTAAGAAACCTTTGAATCGTGAATATCAAAGTAACGATAATTATAATGTAGAGATAAGAAGAAATATTACAAAATGAATAAGTCTATTTTTTTTTACAATATTTCACAGAAATCCATGTCACATTCGATGTTTCTATTTTTTTTTATTAAAAAATTGTAATTCGAAAATAAATTTTAAACTATAATTAAAATTTTTAAATTTAAATTCAATAATTGAATACAAAAAATTAAAACATAAAAGATTAAATATTTATTGCAACGTTAAAAATACAAATTTCATGAAAAAATATATTTCTGGAAATGAAAATTTTTTGTAGATTTAAATGTCAAGAAAGAATCACATTAATATATATAAAGGATTATTGACATTTTCGTATATTCACTAGTAAAATAAACTGCATTTCAGAAAACGTATATGTATACACATATATATATATAAAGTTCAATCACATGAAATTTGAATTGCAACTGTTGCATGAACTTTTGCGAATTCCATTAAAGCATAAATGACTCATGAATAATAAGAATCCATGCCAGTGTAAGTTTCAGGAAAAGAGTAAAATAGTTTATATCAAGTTTAAAAAATCCCCTTAAGGGCATTTCGATTTTATTATACTGTTTTTCTGGTCCACAAACCATGCTTTTACCTACACACATATAAGTAATACCTTGATAAGAATTTTTCTACAGGCAACAAAAAATTTTTTTATATTTCTATAATAATTTTCGATAATCACTGTTTTTTTTCTAGAAAATAACACGATAAAACAAAATAAATTATATTTGCGTAATATACAAATTAAAAATATGTAAAATAAAACAATGCCTAAAACAATAGAAATGCAATATTAAATTTATAAATAAAAGAAATTTATTTTAAATAAATAACAAATATTAAAAAAATATATGTAAAATATAATTATTAATTTTATAATTATTATTATAAAACTGTGTTTATTAAAATTTAATTTAAAATATTTTAACTAATGGCAAATAAATAAATTTTTTTGATAAATAAGAAACAAAAAAAATTAATTTGATTTAACTTTTTCAGTTTCGAGTATTTCTAAATAAATTTTACTTTTCAAAAAAAGGAAAAAGTAAAAAAATGCTAATAATTAATTTTTGATTATAATTATTTGAAATTCGGACGATTTGTTTTTTTTTTACCTATCGAAGGATCATTCAGCCCGAAAATCATGGTAGCAAAGGAACACACTGCGATCGCGAGAACATACATTGCGATGTCGACGACGCGTCTACGTAAACTGAACGTACTCGTGAAAATTTGCCGCCAACTCATTTTGGCGCAAGCGCTTATTCTTAAGCAGAAGCTACTTCATTTTTTTTTTCTTCTTTTTTTTTTGACGGCGAGAACCTCATACCATCTTTCACAGTGGATAAAAGCTACCCCTTTACAGTGAACATGACATTTTCCTTTCCTCTGACATAACATAATCCAAATATGTCTGGATTTCGCTATACATTATAATAATATATACATAAACTTTGAACCTCTTAAAATTTATCATACAAATAGAGAAATAATATACGAAATTAAAAACTTTATTTTTTTTAAATTAAAAAAAGAAATTTTTCTAAATATTTCGTTTCTTTATTTTCGTAAATTTATTTTCCCAAAAAATTTTCGATTTTCTAATAACCATGATATCGAATTTTTTCGTCCCATGACGCTTTTTGAACCTTCACGCGATAAATCGCACGTGCCTAGCTTCAAAAAATCCAATGCCTAGGGACCAAAAATTCAATATAGTCACTATAATTCATAGATCAAAAAAAAAAAAAATTTTGTTTACTTAGAAAAAATCAAAAAACACTTTAAAAATAAATCATGTTACTCTTAACAGAAAAAAATTTAGTTTATTTTTTGATAAATTTTTAATTTTATTGTATCAGATATATTTTGTTCTATTCGAAATATTTTATTTCCTTGTATTTGAAATATTCTTTTTTTATATATAAATTCTAACTAAATTTACAAAATTAAAAATACTTTTTTTGAATTAAATTAAAATCACTATCAAATACAATCAGAAAATTCAATTTATTTCCTTATTAAAAAAAGAAGAGAATGTAAATTTTCTCCCTCTCTGATTATTTTCATTTCCATAATACCAAATAATTTTCAACTTGGAAACTATCCATTTATATTATACCAAAAAGCACAAAGCATTGGCGCGTCGCATCTTTTAATGGATTATGAAATGCATTTGGTTCAAGGAACACTGTCAATAGATTTTCGCTTCTCTGATTTTCAATAAGACTAACGCGCGCTGGTTCTTATACTCAATCAATCAAATCAATATTAATAATGATAACTTTCTTATTAAGGTCTCATCAAAAATATACAATTTTCATTATAATTAAATCACATTACAAAAAAAAAGAGATTCCGTATATACATTCTTTTACAGAGGGTGAAAAAAAAGAAAGTTAATATCCGGTGACTATTACAGTATTACATGAGCACTGACCGTTTTGCATGTCCGATACAATGTTATATACCTTTATTATGATTTTCATTTAATGCGCAACGAGAAATGCGAAACACGCTACATAAACATTAATAAGCTTTGTTACTGCACAATTTTCATATTCAAGCACGTGTCACATGCGGCTTATTCTGTAGAAATCTCTAAGAAATATTCAACGTCTCTTTTGTTATAAATCATTTACATATGAAAATAAAAATTCTTTTCAAAAGAAGAATATTTTTTAAACTTCAATTTTTTTAGACAAAGAAATTAAAATTCCAAAATTAACAATTTTTTAAAACAAAATTTAATTATCGATAGAAGTTTTTGAACAGTAATTTTATAAAATTAATATTTGTAAACTTCTGTCTGACTAAAACTGACTGTAACTACTTGAAACAATATTGGAGGAATATAAAACCATTTGTCTGGCTGTGACTGGCTTTTACTACTTTTAGAAAATTTGAAACAGTTTTTGTCTGATTAAAATTAAGGCTAATTACTGAAAATAAAATAATACCAAAAAACTTGGCTGACTATAACTGACATTTATTTGATAAAATACCAAATCAATTTTTGTCTGACTAAAACTAATTTTAACTACTGAAAATTAATATTACACGAATGTAAAACAAATTGTCTGAATGTCGTTTGACAACTTTAAAAAATTCAATCAATTCCTGTCTGACTAAAACTGGATTTAACTACTGAAATTACTATTACACGAATCTAAACCAGTCTGACTATAATTGTCCATTTCTACTTTAAGAAAAATTACAAAAAGTACATAAGTCTCTGTCTGACTAATATTGACTCTAACTACTGAAATTAATATAACATGAACTTAAAATAATCAGTCTGACTATAACTATCCTTTTTCTACTTTGAAAAAAATTGTAAGAGTTCAATAAAATTCTGTCTGACTAAACCTGACCCTAACTACTAAAATTAATATTCCATGAACGTTGACCAATTAGTCTGACTAAAATTGTCCTTTTTCTACTCTATCAAACATTACGAGAGTTTGAATTAAATTCTGTCTGACTAAAACTAACTCTAACTACTAAATTTAATAATCGTCGATAGTAAAACAATCAGTCTGACTATAATTGCCCTTTTTTTACTTTGACAAAAATAGCAAAAACATCAAACATCTTTTGTCTGACTAAAACTGATTTGAACTACTGAATTTAATATTACACGACCGTAAAACAATTTGTCTGACAGTAAATGTCGTTATCTACTTTTAAAACAATGTAATCAATTCCTGTCTGACTAAAATTGACACTAACTACTTAAATTAATATATTATTAAAAAAAACTTCAAAATAAAACAATCTAAAAATCTTATTTTTCAAAAGAAATAATTTTTTTTAAATATTCACAAATTTATCTCTTTTTTTTTGTCGCAATTTAGTAAATGAATGAGAAAAAGTTTTTTATTTTTCTTTACAAAACAAGTTCGCAAAGTTTTTTTTACTAGAGACACACTTTTTACGACTTTATTGTGTAACTTTAAAAACAATATTTTTTATTAAGTAAATTTTTAGAGAATTTAAATAAATTTAGAGAATAAAGAATATTTAAAAAAAGAAACGAAATTTTTTTTGTAAAAAAATGCATTACTTTTTATACGATGATAAATTATATTTAGAGAGAGGGAGAGAGAGTTTACCTGACATTAAGGAGAGCACCTTAAAGATATTCGTTAATTACACTTGCCGTCAAAATTACGACTATACATGCCGCACTTGTGTCGATCGTTTAAAACCACAGAATCGATACAGTGCTGAGGATCGATTTCAATTTAGCCTCGTTAAGCGCAGCACGCGTTCATGGCTAACGAGCTTTCGAAAGTCGTATAGCCGACAAGTTGGCTCCGCGAGGTTCAAAACTTATATTCCTATATAGTATAAGTAAACCTGTAATCTGGCTCAGTAAAATATAAATTCTTCATCATTTTCCTATGTATAGTTCACTTTCCTAATATTAGGAGAAAAAAAAATCCTTGTTATTTTGTCAAAATTATCCTTTGTTTAAAATATACATATTTCCTTAAATTAATCTAAATTGCATGTAAATTGTATATAAGAAAATAGAGGCAAAAATATTGTATTTAAAAATATGGTGTATTTCATTTTTCAAATAGATTTTTTTTTTTTTTTTACATAATAGGTGCACACATTATTTATGTTAACAAATTTATTAAATACTTTCGTCAAATATAACAAATTTCGAAGCATTCAAACAGTAATTTACTCGTCTTTTGGCGAACTTTTAAAAAGCCAAAGCTCTTATGAAAGCGAAACGTAAACGTTTTTCTTAAAAGCTCCTTCAAAACCGGTGTGTATATACGAAAAATAATTTACTCGTCAAAAAGATCGCTTTCTTTCTTTTTTTTTTTTCTCATGGCCGAATAAAAAAAAGCACACGTGAACCTCTAACAAACAATTTTATTTTTAATTAAAAACAAAATTTTTCCCCTATTTTTTTCAGCCACTTCATCGAATTTTAATGACAAGTTGAAATAATTTAGTTCTATTTTTTGATAAATTTTTCTCATTCATACAAATTATGTTTTTATTATTCATTTTATTATAAATACTTGATTTTTTAAATTTATATTCATAATTTACAATTGGAATTCATTTTTAAAAAATTTATTCATATTTAAATAATTTCACTTGCGATTTTGTAATGAAATTTTTTAGAAAAAACAATTTTTAAAAATAATATCTTAATTTATAAAAAAATTTTCTCTATTATAGTTCTTCTGTTTAAAAAATATGTACAAAAGTAACATTTTCTACGGTATAGAAGTAGAAATTTTTTTTTGTTCTATACATTCACAAAGTGCTTCTTTTGATTTTCGTAACAAGATTTAAAAAAAAATTATTCTAAACACATACAAATTGGAAGCTTTTGAAATAATGATTAAAAAAAGAAGTACAATTGCAAGTTTAAAAAAAAAATGCTAAATAATTCTCTACAAAATATTTTTTAAAAAAATCTAAACTCAAAAATAATTTAACACTTAAATAATTTTAATTTAACAAATTTAACTAATTTGGACATTATTACATTTTTCAAGAAGGCAACACTAAAAAATAATAATTATCGTTGGTATAATGAAAATTAATATCTCGCTATACAAATATATAATAATTATAAAAATCGTAAATTTTTTTGCAAATCTCTTCAAATAAATGACGAATTAACTATATATTTTGCATTTACGACCAAAGATATCAAATATGTATATATAAATAAATGTATATACACATACTTGTACATATATGCACTTTAACACTAGTATTTGCTTTCAGAAATCGACTGCTATGAAGTCACGCGATTTCCTTTGCCAACTGTTACTTGTATACGCGACATAAATAATTTACAATGTCAATTTCCTTTCCCTCGCATTGTTCAGAGTCACGAATTTGCAAAAAAAAAAAAAAAAAAATCGGTCTCCGATAATAATCTCAAAATTAGTTGTTTAGTATAGGCAATTAGATTTTTAATATTGTAACATTAAAATCAAGAAAGTTTGCAATTCAAAGAAATTGTTACTTATTAAAAAAAAAAAAATTGCAATCTAAACAAACATAAAAAAATTTAAATATTCGAATAAAATAATCTTTTAAAATTCCAAATAAAATTAGCCAATTATTTGAAAATAATTTTTTTTTTCCCAGTGTAATAATTAGGAAATAAAAATATTTTATGATAAAAAAAAATTTCTGTTATTAGAATAGAAAAATTGATCAAACTTTCACAAAAAAAAAATCTGATAAAAAAAAATAACGTTGGTTATTTATATGTATAAAAAAAAATACGTGATGGAAAATATGTTGTATATGTAAAATATGGTGATGTATTATCGCGACGTCTTCATTCAACGCTCAGGCGAGGCTTTTCAGGCCTGTGTTGGCAAGTTGAGCGGCATTGAAATCCCGTTCTTTCGCAACCCTTCGTGCTTACATCGTAAATCCCCAAAATCCAGGGAATGAAAGCCTAGCTGTTGCCTTCGTGAAATTTTTGCATTCACATTGTATACAATTTGAAGTCGTTGTTGAAGTCATATTTTATACACTGTTATCTATATATTTATAAATATATATATATATATATATATGTGTGTGTGAAAAAAAAATATATAGATATTTATTGTATTAATGAAGAATAGAATAACGGCCGACCAGTGAAATATGACAATCGTCACATACTCGAACTGGTTTCGTTGAATTCGGTAATGCTATTGTATTGTCACTGCAGGCATTACAAAAAATATTCCCACAATTTCGACAATGGTGCTGTAACAAAAAAAAAATTATTTCTCTTTTTTTGAAAATTAATTTACAATAGAAGATAAATTTATTTTAATTTTTTTTATACATTTTTTATATTTTATTTTTCTTAGTTTTTTGGAAACATTTTTCTTTGATTCTTTAAATCAGAAATTCAGAAAAAGTGGAATAATTTTCAAAATAAAAATTCTTAGATGTATTGAGTCTGACTATAAACTTTCTTTACCACTTAAGTGGATGACGTATTTTATAACCAGACACGCATATTTTCTCGCAAAACCTGATTTCCATAAGATAATTAAACATTTGTCTTGTCTTTTGTAATCGTTCCCAAGAGATGAAACCACTTTGATTTTTTCCAAAAAAAAAAAAATAATTTCAAATCTAAATCCATCACTATGATTTAAAATTTTTTTTTTAAATTATCTTTTTCAAAATATGATAAAGGAAAAATGAAATAAATTTGTGACATATATATGATTTTACAATATATCAATATATTTAATAATAAAAAGTTATATTCATCGAAAAAATAGAAACATGAACGTCAAATCTCCCAAAGGAAGTAAGCTTCATTATTTCTAGCTTATTGGAAATAATGAAAAAGAACATGTATAATGGAGCGAACGAATGAACGTTTTACTTTCAACAGAAATATAAGAAAAAAAAGTGATGATCGATAAATTAGAAATGATATCGTATCTCTTTTTCTTCTTCTTCTTCTTTTTTCCAGGGGAGAACATTTTATAGTGAACGAAAAGTTAAGTACTTTATAATTCATACATTTTCACTGATTTTATTCCTTCTGCGCATTTATTTCGACAACGGGAAAAACCAATAGTATATATATATATAATACAGGGTGGCGTGAAATTTTTTCGAAAAAATAAAAATATTTTATTATTCCATATTTTTATTTTGACAATCCAACTTTTAAAATTTGTAAATATTTTCTTTTTTATAGATTCTAAAATCGAAATTTGGTAAAAAATAATTCAATTATTAAGGCAAAAGACAGAATTAAAAAATCCAATATAGCGGGAAATTTTAAAATTGATTCGATTCGATCAGAATTCATTACTCGGGGGTTTTTTTTTCTGGGACAGCTAAATTAAAAAATTCAAAATGTCAGACCCAATATGGCGTTCAAAATATTTTTTTAATCAAATTTTCTTGAAAAATAAAATTAATTTTAACTGTAATTTTATTTAATAAAAAAACTCTCTAAATCTAAATTAGTAAAAATGTTTACTAATTTAAATTAGTGACTCAATTTTTGCTTTAGAATTACTTAAATTTTACTAATTGTTAGTGAAAATTACTAATAATTAGTAAAATTTTACTAATTGAGAAGCAAAAAGTGACTCACTAATTTAAATTAATCAACTTTTTTACTAATTCAGATTTAGAGAGAAAAATCAATTTTTGCTTTTGTTATTAAATTTTTTTGGAACACCCTGTACATAGACTTTTCTTCATCTGAGTAGGTCGCAGTTAAATTTTACACCGAAAATTGAATTTTCACACAAATAAGATGTGACACCTTCATATCATGGAACGACGTTAATGTACCACAATTTGGAAGGGAAGGGCTACGAATAATATCGTTCCGATAACCGATTCGCCCAGCAAGTTAATTATTGAACCGTCCCATCAGAGTGACTTATGACTTAGGCGTATATATATATATATATATACTATAGATTAGTGTCTGGCGCAACTTTGCGCTGCCAAGCCTCAACCTTGCCATATACTTCCTTATCTATAGCGACATAGTCCGGATGCTTACAGACACTCAAGAAGGATATATAAATCACACTGGCTACGATCAAAATCAAAAACAACTGCTAGCCCGCTCTGTCTACCTTACATTAAAAAAAAAATTTTTAATATTTGCCCGAAAATAGGGAAAAATTTTTTTATAATTTTTGAATTTATTTTCCCTCGCAAAAAATGTTATTGCAATATATATATTTTTACATAACTTTTTTAAATTCCTTTTTTTCCTATTTCCATAATCCGCAAACGAAACTAAAAGATTTTTTTTTTTCCAATCAAACTCTGTTCATATCAATTTCTCGATTTACTAGTTCGTCACAGAGGTGATATATTTATTTTTAAATTACTTTTCCATTTTTTTCTTTAATGTAAAAATTTATTAGGTGAAAATAAATTAACACGAAATAAAAATTGGCTTTCAAGAAAAATCTAAAATATTTACTAAATCGTAAAGGAAGAAAAATGGCAACAACACAGTTTTCCTAAAAGTATCAAATTGAGACCAAAAATTGCATCAAATCTTTGCAACGTTTTGATGCACATAAGTTATATCAAAAAGAGATCGTTTTGTGTATCATTTTTAGAAATGATACACGAAACGGTCTCATTTTTTGATGCAAAAATTTTAATCAATTTATATCAATCATGGCCGAATTGAATCGACTTAAAATTAAACGAATTTTTTTCAGATATTTTGGTAATAGTACAATTGCGGAGACCATTTCACTATTTAATTTGAAAATGAAAATAACGGAAAATCAAAGACAATGTGCAATTCGATAATTAAAAAGTGACAGCTTATAAACATAACCTAAAATTAATGAGAAAAAATTTGTCGATAAAATCAATATAGCCGAGATTTTTAGAAGGTAGATGGCAGTTTTGCTTTTTATAAAAACGATTCCGAAAAAATTTAAAGAAAGAAAATAGATGAGTGCTGCCATCTACCTTCTAAAAAGCTCGGCTATATTGATTTTATCGACAAATTTTTTCTCATGCATTTTAGGTTATGTTTATAAGCTGTCACTTTTTAATTATCGAATTGCACATTGTCTTTGATTTTCTGTTATTTTCATTTTCAAATTAAATAGTGAAATGGTCTCCGCAATTGTACTATTACCAAAATATCTGAAAAAAATTCGTTTAATTTTGAATCGATTCAATTCGGCCATGATTGATATAAATTGATTAAATTTTTTGCATCAAAAAATGAGACCGTTTCGTGTATCATTTCTAAAAATGATACACAAAACGATTTCTTTTTGATATAACTTATGTGCATTAAAACTTTGCAATAGAAAAAGATACAACCAAGTTTACTGTGAAATTTTTGTTTCCAAAAAATAATGAATTTTGCATATGTGAAAATATATTCAAGCTTAGTTCTAATTTTTTTTCTACTGGACTTTACTGGCACACACTTGACACTAACATAGAGGAGTTACCTTTTTAAAACATAGAGAGAGAGAGGGGGCAGCGCGTTTTGTATTAAACAGTATGGTAATATTCTCCTCGGGGCTCGAAAAATGAGTAACAAGGATGGCTTGAAGTCTGCCTTGTTATTATGCAATAACTTACCACTGCACCTCGCGTAAAAAGCTGAACGTCCTGAATACCACGATCTAAACGTGTTTTATGGGACGGCCAACATCTCTATCACATCGCACGAATATAGAATATGCATATATATATACATACACATAGTGCACATAAACACTTAAATGAAAATGCATTCATGTATACATGTATACAATTCTATATGTATAGGACATATCTATATAGTGACGAGAACGATCGTGCAATAACGTTATTGGTCCCGTTGGGCGTGAACCAAGGAAATCTCGTTTCAACGATCTCAAAGCCTTACTCCTAGACGTGATTACCTGGAATATGTTCCTAGATAGCTTCAAAAAAAAAAAAAAAACATCATTGACACGCTTCGAAAATTCAACGTCACTAAAACAATCTCGAACATTGTTCGATCATTTTTTTTTTCCCCCGATAACAAAATTTCAATTTTTTTCCTTACACTAAATTCAATAAAACTTGGATCGATTTTAAAAGCGAAGACAAAATTTGTTTCTCTTTATTCAATTCATAAATAAGTTCTCATAATCAAGATTTATTTCTAAAATTTTAGTTAAAAACTTTCAGTCATAAAGAAAATAAAAATTTGAAAATGTATAAAAATTGTAATCAACAGTTTCACTTCAATTCAGCGGAATAAATGAGAGTTTTTTAACTTTGACGAATAATTAGTGACGATCGTTTTTTTTTGGTATAGTAAGCAAAGAAGAAGAAGAAGAAAAAGGAGAGAAAAGAAAAGGAAATCTGCAGAAAGAAGGCAATTAAAAAAGTTTGATTACCTTACGTCGAGCGATGTTAAACTCTCGGGTACAGCCTTTACAGTGACTGACCAATCGGTCGTTTGTCCATAAAGCTGCACCATCTTGCTGAGGCTGCTGTTGAGCATTACTCGCCGCTTCTCTTAATTCAACTGCTGCCAACTTGGCTGCACTCAATTGTGCGCCCAATTCCTCAAGTGTTCTCTCCTGTTCTGTACAGATTTCACGCATTGCATAATGTTCCTCTTGCAATGATAAATATTTCTAGAAATAAAAGACAAAAAAGTTTGTTTTTTTTTTAAATTAAAATTCATTTTTCCAGATGTGAAAATAAAATTATATACCTCCGAGACAGATTTTAATTGATCAACTTCCTGATGAAGTTGAGAGATTTTTTCAATATTAGAAATTGAAGATTCTTGAAGTGATGTTCGCCATTCGCGTTCTACTTTTAATTCTCTCTCAATACCATTGGCTCGAGCGTCTTTTGCTGCAGCTTCAGCACCTAAAGTTCGGGCTTTCTCCTCATATCCAATTCGTGAGTCTTCAATTTCTTTATGCCTGAATTAAATTTATTAATTATAATAAATTAATTTTACATAAATAAAATAATACTTGGCAGAATATGAAAAAGTAAAATATAAATTTTTTCAATAAATCCTCTTTTTTTTTTCTTCGAAAATAGTTTATCTCTTTTTATCTTTATTTCTCGTCTACAAATTGATCCTATTGAATTTATATAGAATCCACCTTTTACTTCATTGAAGAGAATTGTAGAATTCTGTATTCTAGAAATTGCAGTAGCTTCCAGAGAGTTTCTCATTTACTCAAATTCACACACACACACACATATATATCGTGTGTTTACTCTTACACCTTATCTACAATATTATTATTAAACGTAATTAAGTTAATTAATCAACTTGACATTTCATATTGAAATAATTACTATTCTGAGGCTTAAAGCTTTGCAAGAAAATTTATAATGTAAAATATTATATCTCAAGAGTCAGAGACTTTAAATTCAATTGGAGAAATTAAATTTTTGAATGATTAATAATTACTTACATTTCTCTGCTTTTGATATTTTGTACAATTCTCTATATTTAAATATATACATATTTCCGTTGGTTCATTTCGACAGAAATAGAATACGAACTTCAACATTTATATTACTAATCAAATTATTATTATTAAAGTAATTATTACCACTCACTTAAATTGATTATAGTTTTAATACTCTATATATTAATTATTAATTTAATAATTACAATTAAAAACTTTTCAATAAAAAATAAAATTTTAAGTATATTAGCAATATTTTTGAATTTGTAATTATTATCTAACAATAAAACATTAATAACTTTTTTTTATCCAAAGAAAAACTCGATTATAATAATGCAAAAAAAAATGTGTAAACTCTAGTAATTATACAAAGTGAGTTTAAACTTAGTTTTCTTTTATTGAATTTATAATAAGCAAAGTGGAACTTACCTTCTGAAACATATACAGTTCTTCAAAAAAAAGAAAAAAAGGAAAAAATTTAAAAAAAAGAAAACTATACTGTTTTTAAATTAAACATTTGGAATTTTTAATTACTACTGGTAATTAAAATATGCATTTAATTTAAGGTATAATAACATTTTGAAATTTACGCAACAAATAAAAGTTAGACAGTTTACATTACAATGATAATATTTCAAACTAATTTTTGAATTAAAAAATTTTATTTTCAAATTTTCTATAAATAAAAAATTATTATTTATTTTGTACAAAATATTAAAAAACTATATTATGGAAAATCATCTACTTTTATTATAATTTATATAAATAAAATAATTAAAATAAAAATTATAATAGTACTATTATTAGTACAATAGAAATACTAATTTATTTAGCAATAAAAAAAATAATTTCTAAAATTACAGTTGAAAATAAAAAACATTTTGAAATTTGAATAAAATGAAAAAAATACTCTCATCTTATATAAGAAACATATACGATTTGTTTTGTATCTTGAATTTATTCAATTATATCATTATACAAGCAATTTTCACCTAATTTCTCTTTTGCACGCACTTTGCCACAATTGCTGTATGTATCTTAACATAAATTTGCAAAGTTTTCTTCGACCTATGCGAATTTTACATATGTGTAAATTTTCTTAATAATTTATATAACTATCTCTTATATCAGACATTATGGCACCTCGTCTACTGATTATATTGATTACATTAATTATTTTCAAAAATCTTGTTAATTTCTAAGCGAGAAAAAAAAATTGCAATCTCTTTTTTTTTTGGACATCGTATTTGTAAAAAAAATTTCATATTATTAACTGACGAGAAATAAACAATCCAAAAACGACTAAAGAGGATTTATTATCAAAATAAAAAAAAAATAACCCCATATTTATTATTTTTTTTTAAGGATTTTTCATATTCGCCAAGTTTGAAAATTTAGAGAAATAATTTTTTTAGAATTACTATTATTTTCTATTTGATGTTAAATTAAAAATCAATAAACATACTTTTGATCCATTCTCTGAATAGTATCATTCATTGAATATGTTTTAGCCTCCAGTTTGGCTATCAGTTCTGTTTTATGCTTAAGTGAACTCTCACACTCCTGAAAGCAACAATATACTAAGTAAAAATTAAAAAATATCAACATTCCATAATATCACACTTTGTACATATATACGTTCACAATTATTAATCAGACATGTTGTGCTTTTATCATAAAATGTAATTACATTATTATAGGCAATATTGCACAATCAATTGGACTTTTGTCCAATTAATTACATCAGGCTCTGCACTGTCGACAAAAGGGAATTATCCAAAAATTTCATATAACAATTGACACGCGAAATTAAACTAATTATAAAAACAGAATATAATTCAGTGCCATATATATATATTTATCTGTGTAAAATTTTTTTATTATATATTAATAATTGTGATTAAAAACATTTGTATATATATATATAATTTATCCCTTTGTCAATAAATATTTATTAATGCCCAAAATAATCTTCAAAATTTTAGAAGAAAACGGAGAATTTAACAATAATTATTGAATTCGAATAAAGAAATAGCTGATGTTATATAATATATTTTTTTTGTTATATGTAATTTTTATCGAAACAAGAGTGTACAATGATAGTTAATACTATCATAATTAAACAAAGATAAAAATTACATTGCAAAGCATTTATATATTAAATATTTACATATTAATAAATACAATTCTTAATAATATCGTGAAATTCTTTATACAACATATCACATAGACTCAAACAATCGATTTTATCATAGAGATGAAAAATATTCGATATAAATAAAATTTGTCCATTTTATAAAATGTAACTTCAAATAGAAAGCTTTTTTTAAAATTTAAGTATTTTTCATATCGATATGAAAAAATTTTCATTTTTTTTTTTTTTCATTCTCTTTGTGAAAAATTGTTTATGATTTACTTGCACTAGCATCAGCAACTTCTTCATTTGATTTTTTATCTTGTTCTTCATTTGTTTGACAAATACTTTTTCGATTTGGATTAATTTTTCGTTCAGATATTTTATCAATAGACAATTCTTTTGGCGAAGTGGGACTTGTTTTATGAAATAAAAGTGATTTCGAATCATTTGGTGTTGTTGGACTTCGCATTGATTCACTGTCCTTCATAAAACGATTATATTTATCGAGATTGTTCAATAATTTTCCAATTTGATTGGTCTTCGCATGTAGACGACTCACCATTTCACCTTTTTGCGTCAACTCGAACTCACACTCCTACAAGTGAAGAGTTGGGAAAATTTTTTCAATTATAAACAATTTACAAAAATGCGAATTTGTACTCCAAAAAAACTGAAAATTTGGAATTTGTAAATAAAAAGTAGGAGAAAAAGGATCATGTATAAAAGAACTCACCTGAAATTTTTCTAATTTTAAAAAGAGGATTATTAATTTTATAGTAGAAAAATAAATAAATTTTATATAAAAAATATATATTTAGATGGATGACTATGACAATGTATCGGATGACATTTGAAGGAGTAAATGAGAATAAACAAAGGTTATAATTTTTCTCTCTTTCTTTATATAAAAAAAACTTTAATTTTATCACAGCACATTGTCATAATCATCCGTTTTTTAAATAGGTATATTATTTCACCTGTAGTTTTTTATACATCTCCAAATTAATCTGCTTAATATCATCTAGTTGTCTTCTTAAAGATACAATTGTGTCCTGTTTATCATGAATATCCTTTTCCAAAAGTTTCATCGCAACTTCCATTTCCGATTTGATGCTAATCTGCATATCAAAAAAAAAATTATTTAAAAAATAAAAAAATTACTGCAAAAAAAAAGCAATTTAAAAACTTCTTCAAACCTGTAGACTAAGTTCCTTCTCTACTTCCTGACGATGTTTCTTCTCCGATTCTAACCTACTTCTTGTTTCTTCTAATTCGACTGTCGTTTCTGTGATTTTCAACGGGGGTTTTCCATTCTAAAATCCAATTATTACAGATAAAGAAAATTTCTTCAAGAATTCTTTCAAATATTTCTAAATTAATTAATTATAAAAAAACAATTTTCCCATTTTTTTTTTTTTTTCTAATATCTACCTCGTTAGGATCTTTGATCTCAATTCCAAGTTCTTTTTTCAATTGTTGATTCTCATATTGAAGAGCGAGATAACTATTTTTCGCAATTGAAAGATCTTCCTTCATAAGAGCATTTGTCGTTGTGAGAGATTCAACTTTTGCTTGTAGATTTGTAACAGTTGCACTAAAAAATTTTTTTTAAATCAAATTTAAAGGAATTCAACTTTGAAGTACTTTGTTTCCGATTCAATTGAACAGATTTAATTCAAAATCAAATCAGTTTAAAATTTAAAAATTTTCAAAATTATATAAAATAGAAAAATGATAATTACTTTAAATGTCGATTTAATTCCTCGATATAATTCTTCTGATCGAGAACTGTTGTCATATTGTCGTTTTCCAATTCCTCGTCTGGCGATTCACCGGGAATGTGATTGCTATTTCTTAAATAGAGTGAGAAGTCAATAACGCCTTGCTGACAGTCGAGGTCTTCTTCCTAATTCGATATAATCATTATTGATTAAACAAAATCCAATTTAATATCACGTATTTATATATATAGAGAGAGTGCCTAATGGCTGACCTTCACGCAGAAATTGCAGTCAATAACATTTAGTCCAACCAATAAACCCATTATGACAATAGCTTCCTCGCTCATCATTAATGCATCGGGTTCAAAATATTCCGAAAGAATATCATCTTTATGATCAATCAATACTTTTAAATAATCCGCCAATTTTTTTTGCATCAATGCCATACGTAGCCAAGCGCGTGATCTTCCCAATGCCGTTCTGCAAAAATTAATTCACTCTCAAAAATATCCTCAATTTTTCGAAAAAAAAAAAAGTAAATTTCGTTTTGGATTCTTTTATCCGAGTAGAAATTTTGCCAGGGCCCAGACCGGGACCGGATCAGGCTGCCCTAATAGGAAATGAAACGCCACACCTGATCAGGACCACATCAGGCGCTGCGTTTCATTCCCTAATAGGGCAGCCTGATCCGGTCCCGGTCTGGGCCCTGGCAAAATTTCTGCAACAACAAATCCAAAAAAAAAATATAGAAAAATCGATATACCTGACTGTGGGAAGATCGCGTATACTAGAAGTCATGTCTTGTGCTTCAGGTGAAAATTTTTCGACAACTTGAAGAATGTCCCAGAGTTCTTTTTTTGGTCCAAGAAGACCCTGAAATTATTTTTTTTTGTTTTTTTGGGAGTGAAGAGTAAATTACAAAAAATTATTTTTTTTTTTTTCAAAATTTACCTTCTTTGGTCGAAGACCATGCCTGAGTACATGTTCTAAAACAATGAAGAAATGCTGCAATGGCATATGATCAGAATCGAGCATTCTTCCATATTTTAAAGAAGTTTCGATGAGCTCCTTAACAATAAGTTTCGAGATATTAACAAGGTTGCTCCTCTCAATTATCACCGGATCTCGTGCTGTAAAAAAGAACAACACGAGTTGTCTTATCTTGTTTTTTGTTGTCTTGAAAAAAAAGAAAAAAAAAAAAAAAAAAAAAACAAGGAAGAAAATAATTCCAATGATGATATAGTAAATATTTAAAAAAAAAGTGTGTCATGAAGACGAGGCTTTCTATATTATTAAATAATATATGCACAGTGCGACTTTCATCGACACATTTCTGATAAGCAGTGAGACATTTCTTTAAGAATATAATAAAAAATATGAAAATATTAAGAAAAATGCATCATGCCACAAAAATAGTGATGAGAATTGAAAAAAAATGCGCATAAAAGCTGCAAATAAATAATTCGCGAGAGAAAGAAAAAAAGATGACAAAGAAAGCTGATTGGTCCCCACTTAACAATGCATACCACAGATATTTTTTTTTTGTACTCTAAATAATTAATTCTTCTGTAAAAAGAAATATCATCCTCTATGAAAATTAAAATTATTTATTTGTTAAAAACGTTTTTAATTAATTAAAAATTATAAGACCTTTTCATTATAAAATTAGAATTAGAATTTAGAAACTACTCTATAAATCTGAATTAGTAAAAATGTTTACTAATTTGAATTAGTGACTTACTTTTTGCTTCTGAATTAGTTAAATTTTACTAATTGTTAGTAAAAGTTACTAATAATTAGTAAAATTTTACTAATTCAGAAGCAAAAAGTGAGTCACTAATTCAAATTAGTAAACATTTTTACTAATTCAGATTTAGAGAGTACTCGATAATAATTAGAATATTTTCAATTATTATTGATTCTTAGAATTGAAGTTTACAAAAAGTTAAAACAATATTCAACGGAATTTGAAAAAACTGCTATTCTTCTTTGTCTCAAGGTTTGCGTTTCAATTAGATTAAAAAAAATGAGTTCATGAGCATAAATCGATCCAAGCTTATGAAAAAAAAATACTGTCAACCATTGACCTTGAATTCATCTTATCTTTCACCATCTTCAGATGATTTTAAATAATTTAATTTTTAATTTACATTAAATATATTAAATCTTTCACTGAAATTTATTTTTTAATTTTTATTTTAATTCAAATAATCAGTTATTTGACTATTATTAAATTATTTACTTGAACCAAATAATTTGTATTTGGTCCAAGTAAAATTTATTGATTCGAATACAGTTTATTTGATTCAAACAAAAAATTATTTGGTCCAAGTGAAAATTATTGATTCAAAAATAAAGTTTATTTGAGTCAAATAAAAATTATTTGGTCCAAGTAAAAATTAGAGATTCAAATACAATTTATTTGATTCAAACAAAAAATTATTTGATCCAAGTGAAAATTATTGATTAAAATAGAGTTTATTTGAGTCAAATAAAAATTATTTGGTCCAAGTAAAAATTAAAGATTCAAATACAATTTATTTGATTCAAAAAAAAATATTTGATCCAAATAAATATTTATTTATTTCTAGTCAAAGTGACTATTTGAATTAATTTTATTTGAATCAAATAAAATTTTTTTTCAGTGCAGTACACTTTTTATGAGAGAAAGTGCGCAATGAAAAATAAATGAATTTGAATGATGAGAATCAGTGTGTATGTGTGTGTGTGTGCAAATGATACAAACATAAGCTTGAGACGTGTTGCATTTGCGGTGGGCTTGGCGGAGAAATATCGCAAAGCTCTGATGGATCAGGATGATGACGATGTATACCACTGTGTACAAGGGGTGGCGATGGCGATTGTTGCATTGAATCCTGCATTGAAAATTCAACGTCCTGAAGTTCTTTTAAACAGAGCCATTCACCATCGACAGATACACGAAAATTACACAAATATATTGTGTCTTGTGCACCTGCCATATCCTGTTCAATCATGATTGAACCGTTTCGATGTTCGCCCGGAGGCAAACTTTTCAAACTGCCTTGAGCTTCTTGACGCATATATATATAGTAATTCTCTCTCTTTCTCTATCGAGAAAAAAATCAATTTTTTCAAGATATGTTTTTATTTATTTTTTTTTTAATTGTCTGTGACTAGAGCAATGGCACTTTTTTTCTAATTTTTTATTGATAAAAATAAACAATCCATCAAGAAATTATTCCTCAATTTGAGAAATGATTTAGTTAATTGTTTTTAAGTTTGTCTCAATTTGACAGTTTTTGAACAGCTGATGACTTATCAGAAGACCTTTTGAGGCTTATTTGAATTATAAGAGACTTGATATCACTTTAATGATGAAATTTTTCTTGGGTCACCAGTGATTAAGTCTCTCACTTCTTTGATAGATAGAATTCTTCGATTTTTTTTTTTTGAAGACACTCGAGGATTGTTCTCGATTATAAAATGAGTACACACTGTCTATACGAATATAACATTATTGAAGAATATCTTCTTTTTTCACATAAGAAGTTTTATAAATACATTTGTATGTTCGTAATACAATTTATACGTTTATTGTAATATTATTATTATTTAGAGATTTTTGAAAACTTTGCACTATTTTGACAAAAAAAATGAATGAAATTTACAGATATTTTCCGTTTAGCCGGAGAAAAAAAGTTTCACTAAAATGTCGAGGGCCGGCTATAATATTGATTCTCCCGCCGACTATGCTTCCACCTACTATAATCAATAGATTTGTATGACCTTTTATATTAGAGGGTGCTGTCACCTACTGAATTGTACTGGTAGTAAAAATTGGGTAAAGCAGAAATTAAACGAAACAAAGCTGATAAAAATTTATAAAGAAAATTAAAAATTAAAAAATTTTTTTGTTTTTCGTGTGCGTCTTAAATGTAGAGAAAAATATTTCTAATACCAAAATTATATATCTAAAGAAAAAAATTGATAATTGTATTTTGCTACTTATAGCAAAATTTATAAAAAATTTTAATGTCTGGCTAAAACACACTTATACTACTGATTTGTTTATACACTACAATTAATTCTGTTTTGTCTGATTAAAAATTGCATTTACTACTGGTACTAAAATTTAGTTTTCACAAATTTAATTAATTTTGTTTGTCTGAAACTGGTATTTATTACTGATGCAAAAATAACGAATGTTCTGTTTGAATAAAAATCACTTTTACTACTGTTGTATTAAAATAAAAATTATTTCCCGGACAGAAACTGTTTTTTTATTACTGAATATAAATTAGAGAGGAGGGGGGGATTAAAAATGATTTGAAATAAAATATTATAAGGGAATTATTCGATTCTATAAATATTTATTTAATATCATATATATTTAATGCCATCATCAAATAAATATTTATTTAAACCAAATAAATATCGAAACGAATGAATGTTATTTAAACAAAACCGTATAATAATAAAATAATTTGTTTCGTGCAAATAAATGATAAAATTTACTTAAACAAACAAATTATAGAAATGAAATAATTTTTTTTTTACTTTTAAAGAAGGTAATAATTATCAACTTTTTTTTATATTTACTTTTAACATTTTAATTATTTTATGGACACTTCTAGGAGATAATAGTTTAATGCCATTTATAGGAGTTTTAGAAACTTTATTAACAACTGTATATGAAGTATGTGACCTCATTGTAACAAAGTGCCATGAGGCACTGATTCACTATCAGTTTCTAATTTTAAATTATTGTTATGCATTAACAGATAATTTTTACTAACGCAATGCTTTTTAATTTCCAGTTTAAAAAAAAAATGTTTCCTAAATATGCAACTTTTAAATTTTTAAATCAAAAAAACTTTTACTAAAATTATTACAACATTTTAATTAATTATAAATTATTAATTTGTTTATCCAAGTACAAAACAAAAATTATTTTCTCTTTTCTTTGAAACAAAACATTTTCAAAGAAACGAAAATTATTTATTTATGAAATAAATTTTCATTGTCATTGTAAAATTACAATTTTTTTTTTTTAAACAATTTAAAAGAAAATTCTATCAAAAACTAAGGAGTTAAACATTATTGATTATTTTTCAACAATTTAAATTTTCATTCCCGCGGAAAAAAAAATTGTTTTATCTAGTTTTGAAAATTTAAAATTTCCCGGTAAAATGAGTTATAAATATGGCATGCATTTTTCAACTACTCACGTCTCGGCAGCCACCATACATCCAATTTCCTTGGTCTAGACACAACTAAATCGGGCCATCTGTCCTCTCTTATTGAATATGTTGAAGGTGAACGTGAAACACTTTTTTCATTTTCTTCCGAAATCAAACTACCGGACAATGACTTTTCTGAGGGCGACATTGGTACTAATACATCATTAGTGTCCGCGTCCATATTTATCTATATGCCAACAAAAAAAAAAAAATAACACACATACACTAACACTAATACACATTCATTATCAGAAGATTAAAAAAAAAAATTACAAAATATTACTATCAATGTGGTCACTTTTTTATTTATTTATTTATTTATTTTTTTTGTTAAATTAAACACGTTAAAATTTTAAAAAGAGAGAGAGAGAGAAAGAGGATATCGTACAGTTAACAACAACAACGCCTCATTAAATATATTTCAAATCGATTTTCAACTCGATCAATCTCGATATTTTAATTTTATATATTTTTTGGTAAATCGATTTTTATTTATCGATTGTAGAAATCGATTGTAGGAATCGAGTTTTTAAGATCGATTATTATTCGACTATCGATTTTTAATTTCGAGATATCGAACGAAGACTATGCTTATACACGGATGTATAACGGGTTGTCTATAATCTGGGGTAAAATACTAAGAAATAGGAAAAAAAAAATTTTATTTAAAAAAAAATTTTATTTTAGTGTTATTTATTTATTTACTCCTTTATTTATTTATTCATTTATTTAATTAATTTTTATTCGTTTATTTATTTGTTTATTTGTTTAATTAATTTTTATTCGTTTATTTATTTGTTTATTTATTCATTTATTTAATTAATTTTTGTTCGTTTATTTATTTGTTTATTTAGTTAATTTTTTATTCATTTATTTATTTGTTAATTTACTTATTTACAGTTATAGACGCGCCAAAAAATATAAACGTCTTTTTGTAATTTTTTTTTTGTCTTTTTTGTAAATTGAATGTTCCTTGAACCAAAGTTTTAATTAACTTTTGAGTATAACATTTGTCGACGAAATTTGAATAGATATATGTGGTAGGATGATTGTTTATTGAATAATATACATTTATGTGTATCTAAATAGCCGCGAGCTACTAAAATAATGTTTCTATGAAAACGTATATATTAATGTTACGAATTTGTTTAATTTTAATTTATTCTGAATTTCAAGTAAAAAAATGTTTAAACGGAAAAAAAGAAAAAGTAACTTTTTTATTACTTTCGGAGTAAAACGGGAACTGTCAGAAGTTTCTGCGCATCTTTGGCAACTTTTACTCCGAAAAATAGTAAAATTTACTCCAGATATAGGAAAAATTACTACGGATATAGTAAAATTTACTATTTTTGGAGTAAAAGTTGCCGCAAAGATGCGCAGAAACTTTGGACAGTTCCCGTACCTAGATAATCGAATCTAGATAATATTATCCTGATTATCTTAAATAATATCGAGAGACAGAGAATTTTTTCTTTACAGTATACTTAAAAGGATATTTAATTACTTTTAAATAGTTACATAAAAAAAAGAATAAAAAAATTTTCCAACAAATTCAACTTTCATTGAGAAAAGTATTAAACGTATATTTACCAAAGAAAAACTTTTTCTATATATACATCTGTCTTGAATTCTTTTTACCTATCCAAGAGAAAAAACCTCAAATTGAAAAAGTTTATCTCTTACATCTTTGGAATGTTACAATATGGTGCAAAAAAAAAAAATAATCTCATAGAGAGATAATATTAGCTTTTTCTTCTTCTTCTTCTTCTTTCATTTCTTCTAATGAATTGAACGCGCGGGCTATAATGACATTATTTCGGAAAAAGCTTAACAAGTTAATAACCAAAACTTTTAATCCCGCTAGAAAACCCTAATGACTTTTCGACTTTGAATGAGAGTTTTGGGAATAGAAATAAAAAAGCCACTGGTGCGCGATTCTTTTCTTTTATTATTATATATATAGAAGTTTGTGCGCACGCAGAGGAAGAGAGATGGAAAGAGAGTGAGAGAGCAGGTGGATATATTGTCGCTACCCCCTATATGTATTTTACGAAGATACCAGTATCGCAGAAAGTCAAAGTTTCGTGTGCCGTGGAACAGTAAGAACTTCCCACTCTTCCTTCCGGTTAAAAGTCGAAGTAGTACGAACAAATACGAACTGTCCGAAACCCATAGGTTTTCAAAGTACAATGGCGCGAAACTTGTTATTCAATTCGTGGCTGTTGCGTGAAACGGATGTGTGAAAAAAATTTTCGGCTTCATTCAACCAAAAATTTTGACATTTTTTTTTTTTTTTAAATTAAATCGAAAATTTTAAAAAATTTAGTATTTTCATTTAACAAATTAAGGGGATTTTGGAAATAAAAGAAGAATCATGTATGGGATGCTTTTGGAGAGTGTTCAGCATTTCGTACAGGTTCGTACCCAAAAAAGAAGATGCGCGTTTGTTTACTCTTTTGAATTTAAAATTGACCCTGCGGACTATTTTTATACTATTGTGACAGGAGAATAATTTGATTTCTGATTTAATCTTCTATTTGTTCATATCTGTGTAAAGGAAAATGAATTTTAAAAATAAAAAATATTTTATCATTTAAAAAATTTTGTACAAGAAAAAAAATTTTTTAACAAAACATGTTTGGGAAATTTTTATTTCTCTCTAAATTTAAATTAGTAAGAACTTTTTACTAAAATTAGTGGAAATTTATACTAATTTTTAGTATTTACTAAAACTGGTAAAAAAAATATATATATTACTAAATCAAATAGTATTATTTTACTAAAAATTAATGAGCGAAAAATTTTTTTTATGGTAAACCACTTTATTTTGCTTTGTTTTAACATATATCGTATTTAATTGGACTTTATTTTAATTATCAACTGTATATATATTAAAGCAGCTGTGAATTCAACAAAACTTTTAATTAGTAAAACTTTTCTTTTTCATTGAATACTAACTTTGAAATTCATTATACATTCATGTTAAAAAGTTTAAAAAAAACATTCTACAAAAATAGAATATATCCTTATTTATTTCATAGAAAATATTTTGATTCATCATATATAAAAAATATTTTTCAATATTTTTTATATAAAAAACTAAACAATATTTAATTCACATTAATATATACATATATAGAAAAAAATATATATACTATTTATAAAGTGGAATTCGGTAGAAAAGTGATTTCCAATCTTTTTACGTCAATAGCGAAAAAAAAAATGAATGAAGAGAATCGGGAATAAATTTTTAAAGCTTTCATGTAGCTTTTTCAGTTTTATATAGGGATGAAAATTCGCGTGGCTGTCGTTAATGGAATATTAAATGAATGTCATAAGATATAAAGCTGTTAGATAGCAATAAATTTATACTGTGAAAACATTTTCTTTTTTGTAATGTAAACAATGGAGGAAAAGTTTTTTTTATTGAAAATTTATTTCTCATGCGCAAAAATTGTGTTTTCATAATGAAATTGATATTTCCATAAGTAAACTTTATGAGTAAATAACAGTGAATTTAGTTATCATTTGTTTAATTTAGAAAAAAAAACAACTTTTTTTTAATTCTCCAACAAAAATTTTATCTCTCAACTAAATTGTTTATAGTTTATTATTTTTTTAAATTATTATTTTATTTGCAAAATATGCATATATAATGTTTTTTTTCTCTTTTACAGAAGGATATCTAATTAAAGTTAATTGACAATTAAATTAGTGAGGTTTATCAGAAATTAGAGAACTTTGAAAAAAAAAGTTGTACAGTTGAGTAAAGAAAGCTCGTAACCTTCGGTTGAAATTAAAGTTATACGTCACTTGGTTGAGCTTGCATTTCCGCGTGACAGGTCTAAGCGAGATTTAACGTTCCCTTAACCACAGCCATTGTACTACATCTCCTCTCATTCCAAACATAAATTACTCTTATGTTATCACTGCCTTCCTGAGCTACTGAACTTTCCTTTTGAAAAATGTCATTTTAGGCACTTATACCAGAAATTAACTCAAGTATCCCCGGAATGAAAAATTAATTAGTTGGAAAAGAGATTCTTTGCGAAAGTTTAAAAATTAAAATTTCACGTAAGAAAGAAAACTTTTTTATACTGCAAAAATTGATTATACAAACATCTAAAAAATTTAAAAATAGTTTTAACAAAAATTTAAAAATTTATTCTAAATAAAAAAAATAATTAAACTTTAAAAAAGTTTTAATCCTCTCTCTCTCTCTTTCTCTCTTTCAATAATAATTTAATGCAATAAGTAACATCTTAAAATTAATATTTTATATATGGCCTATTTATTCAACGACTCACGTCTAATGGATTTCTCATTATTTATTTATGGATTTTTGAAAAAACCTCATATATCAACATTTACATAATGCAGCAATGATATGTCTTTTCAGTTAAAGTAATGTTTGAAAACTTGCTTCTTTATATTAAAATGCAAAGTTGCATTTCTCAATTAAAATGAGAGTTTTATTTTTCTATATTTAAAATAATTTAAAAATTTTTCTCTACTTAAAGTATCAATTAATATATTAAATTTTCAAATGAGAATTAAATATCAAAATTTATTTTTGTTAAGAAAACCTTTTATTTCAGTTTCCCAAAAATAAAAAAGAAAAAAAATGCGAAAATAACGAAAGAAAGAACTGTGTGCGGAAACGGAAATTACTGACAGAGAAAATCGAAATCGAGGGACATAATAAAGAATCTCATGGGGACCATTTTTCTGTGTTACAATCCCTCTATTACTTTTACATGGAAATACGGTGTGAAATCCCCAAAATTTATATCCTATATATATATATATATATATATACATTGGAAACGTTGAAACGAAAGATTTCATATATCTGATTTTGTTATATACTTCATTTAGTAGTAGTCGACTTTTATTGATTACATATTAGAAACATTGGTTAAATAAAAATAATACATTAAGTTTTATGAATTCTTTAAGAAGCTATTTATCATTTTTTTGTCTTTCAGAAATTATATATGACTATCCCTTTTTATCTGACTATTAAATTTTATCACTTCAACTCCCTCTTCTAAACAACTTTATTGTCCGGAAGAAAAAAAAAGTTTTACGTGTTCAAAATTTTTTATTATTCCACACGACGATTATTATTTTTATAAACAAAATTTTCTATTCATAATTAAATTTTGTTGTATCTAAAAAATGTTTATAAATATTCCAATAGTGCGAAAATATGTCAATAATTAAAAAAAGATAATTAATTAAGTTCCTTTGATTTAAGTTTTCTTTGGATAAAAGACTTTTTTAATTTAAAAAAAACATCAAAGAAAATGTTCTTTAATATAAAATGTTGCAATTTTTAATTTCTTTTTTATTTTTACAATTTCTGAAATGAAAACTAATTTTTTTTTCCGGATGCATTAATTAAAGTTGTAAATAACAAGGACAAACATTTAAGAATTTTGAATTACATTAATCAAAATTATTTGCACATAATGCAGACACATTCGTCAAAAAAGGATTTATTAAGAATATACTTTTAAATAATTGTCACGTACTTATTGTTTAAATGCAAGTCAAAACATAATTTAAAATCAATCATGTCAATTTGAAATGCAATATCGACATCCTTAAGGACGCTCGTAAATAAACACTCACATATATATTCAATTAATAAAATCGCGAACGAATATAAAATTTAACGAGATTAATAAAATAAAAATTATTTGTATTTAAATTAAAGTTAATTAAAAAATGTAATAAAAATAAAAAAATTTACTATATTTGAAAAAAAAAATTTACTTTTTTACCTCATCTCCACTGATTTACTGTATGAAAAGGAATATAATGGACACAAAATATACTTCAGAAAAAAAAAATAATACCGAATCTCGCATTAGGCAATTGAATTCTCTGACAAAAACATTTCTCTCTTGGGAAATCTCAAAACATATATAAATATATGATTTTTCTATTTTTGTCCCAAGTTAACCAACAATAATATAATTAAATTAAAATTATTTACCATAAATGTCAATATAATTATTTCAGTTATTAATTCAAATTTTTATTTATTAAAATTATTATAATTGATTAGAAAATAAATAAAATAATAATTTTATAAAAAATTGAATCAACAACAAAAAAAATCTGAAAAAAAATCATTATTGGAAATTCTTGATTTGAAGAAAAAGAATGCTTTTGGTTTTTTTTTTTTGAGATAATTAGGATTGTTCTATTACATTATTATTATTGCCCTGAATATATAAGGGAACAATAATGTTGATTCCCCTTTAGCGTGTCTTTCATATTTCATAATATGTTTCCTTCACGGAGTGTCTATTTCAATAAAATGAATTTTCACGACCGTCTCACAATTCCCTGTGTACTCTCAGTTTTTAATCGCTCCACTGCCAATTAAGTGAACCATTAGTTTTCGTGACTAGACTCATTATACAACAAACTTTAAGGAATATCAGTCCATTGTCTTAAACTTCTAATTTAACATGAATAATTAATTATCTTTACTGCCTCTTGCTGTTTATTATTCTTAAACAAGGAAATGGGATTAATTCATTGTTCTAAAAGAGAATATTTTCTTCATATTTAAAAAATAAAAAATAAATTGCTTATAAATAAATTAAATATGCTTATAAAATTAAATAAAATCATTCAATCATATATGTATATAATTTATTCATGAGCTATTTTATTTATAAATAAATGTATTCAAAAATAAAATTACTGATATTTTTGTATTTTATTTTCATTAAAAAAAAATCTTCAAATACAAAAACATATTTATTGCAAATAATTAAATTTTCTATTTTTTATCAGTGAAATGTTATTTTATTTGATGACTTTCTTTCGTGTAATATTTTTTTTTGAAAGGTTTATTTCCCTGAAAACTTGAAGAATTTTCAAGTTGGAGGAAATAACTGACGCTCTTAAAAGCGTAGAACCGAAAATGGAATTCCCCCTGTCTCTAATCCGTCATACACTACCTACATATAGCCTGAGGAATATAACCAAATATATATATATATTGCAAAATATTCTTTTTGACGGCAAAAGCGGGGATTTTTATCAAAAAGATGCAAGGAGGCAGAATAATTCTATTTCAGATCATTTATTTTATCTATTTACCAATAGACCATTAAATTTGAAAAAGGATTTAAATGACAAAAAAATTTCTTAAGAACGTACCCATGAAATTTATCACATTTAAAATGTGTGCAAAAGATAAAAATTCAATGAAATGAAAAAGTAGAGCTTTAAAAAAAATAAATAAATACCCTTTTTTCTATAAATGAAAAAATTTAAAAAGATACAAAAAAATTATTTTCTTCTAAATTATGTAATCAGAGGAAAAAATTAATTAAATGAAATAATTTTATTATATATTAAGGATTACATGTGTGATATATAGGGATTTGTCTAAATCAAAAAATTAAATTGATTTGTACTGGGAAATTTTGTTACCCTACATGAGAGAAAAAAATCCCCTAAAATATTAGCTTATTTACAACAAAAATTGTACATAGTAGAGGGTGTTGAATTTTTATTGTTTTAATAAATTCACTAACAAATCTTTACAGATTTTATAATGAATTGCAATCAAAATGATAAAAAATGGGTTTTTCTCGAATTTTAAATATATTAATTTTAAAATCATGATTGCGTTTGATATTTTATCACTAGCCTTTTTCAAAAAGAAAACAAGGGTAAAAATATATTTCCATAAAACCCGATATGTTTATTTTTTATCAGTCTGTAGGACTATATGATGAAAATTTTTTTATAAAAATATATAACTTTATAACAATAGCATTGCATTGAAGAAAAATATTCTAAGAATTAAAGATATTTTTATTTTTGAAAAACGTGACTATATGAAACTTTTATATATCTATATTTTCTAACATGTTTACCGTTTTTATTTGAAATCAATTTTGGCTTTGGTAAATACAGTGGAGTAATTTGGATTAGAGAAAAATAAGATATAAATATATTTAATTCTTCAAATAAATATATTTATTTATTTATAAACATATTTTTAAATACTTCTTTATATTTAATAAAAATATTTTTTATGAGTTTAATGAATAGATTGAGAAAAAAATATTAATTAAAATTATTTTAGAAATTCGTTGATTAAATAAACTAAATATAAAAGGGAAAATAATATTTTTTTTTTGTTCCTCACTTTCAAATGTAACTTAACCGCGTTCTCTCTCTCTCTTTTTCTCTTTCTAGAGTTTCATTAATTTACACACTCCTCTCTGAATAATTTTATTTTAAGTACCTTACTTCATGCAGTATCAGCACAGGGGTGAAGAGTAATTTCATTATAACGCTGAAAGCCTATCTTGATGAGGGAATATATATATTTTCTTCATTTATGTGATTTTCCTTTTATAAATTTAAAAAAAAATAATTATATTCTACAAAAAATTATATTTAAATAAATTTTATAATTAAATGGAAATAAGTTTTTTTTTTTACTAATTCTCGTCACATTGATGAAAAAACATTTTTCAGCTGGAATATGGAGAAGAATTATGGCTGCAAATGTTAGAAAAAGCGGGAGTGAAGCACACAGTGTTCAATACTCGACAAATCTATCCGGACGATTTAATGACAAAATTGGCAGCTGCTCTCGCCGATCATATTGGAAAGAGTATCAATAGTGTCATGGAATTTTTCGGAAAATGTTTCGTTCGATTTTTTAGTAATCTTGGGTAAGAAAATAATTGTGAAAAAAAAAATTAAATTTTTTTTTTTCCATTTTTAAAATGTTTTATTAAAATATATTCTTCACAATATATTTGAAAGGACGCAAATTAACATAAAAGAATAAGAAAAAATCATTTCTATAAAGAAAAAAAATATAGTATAGAAAAAAATAATCAATAGAATCGAAATTGTTGCAATCCACTTTGAAAGCAACTTAACTGAATATTCTATAGACATTCTATTTACCCTCATACCCTAAAGCGTCCCTTGAAACGCGAGCCTCCTCTAAAGTAAAGAGGAATGCTTACGAGAATTTCCTTGTCTCGCGAGAAAGAAAAAAGCTTCTAAAATGAGCTTTGAAAAATTGGAAAGCTAAAAACAAATTGCTAAACTATGTTCGTTGGAAAAAAAAATAAATAAAAGAAAAATTAAAAAAATAAATAATAATTTAAAATTAATTTTTTTTATTATTAGGTACGACTGCACAATAAAAGCAACTGGTCGTTATTTTTGTGATTTTTTGGCAAGTGTCGACAACATACACATGCAAATGCGATTTACATATCCAAAAATGAAAAGTCCCTCTATGTATATAACACACGTGGATCCACATGGAGTTATTTTAGTTTATAGAAGTACTAGACAAGGATTTACACATTATTTTATGGGTGAGAATTTTTTAGAACATTAAGGAATAGAATATATTTTGTTTAAACAAAAACAGTTTTAATTATAAATAATAAAAAAAATTTGTATGTTTTCGTTAAATAGTGAAAGAAATATGAAACAAAATAATTGTCTAGATAATTGTAAGCATAATAAATGAAGATAATTTTGTAAAACAATTTTGTACTTCATATTGAACTTTGTATTATAAACTAAGGAAATAAGTACATAAGTTTATTTCACGTGTTCTCAGGTCAACTGTATCAAATAGCTAAAGAGCTTTACGAAACAAGTTTAGACATTAGAGTCCTCGAAACTTCAACTAACATCCCAGGTAGTCGAAGTGTGAAAGTTACTTTTCGCATTGATTTTGACAACCGAGAATATGTAAGTATCAAATGATACCAAAAAAAAAATATTAGGGGAAAAAAAAAATATTTTTGTCCGTAAAAAATTATTTATTTCACAGAATTCTAATTTAACAGAATTTTAATTTAACCTACTTAATAATTAAATTAATAATAAATTTAATTGATTTAAAGAAATTTTCTATATTCATTACTTGCAATTTATATATTAATTCAAAAATTATGAATGAATAACTTTTTATGATTTTGAAGCAAACAAATATGTGATTCAAACTAATATTTCAAATCTCTCATCCTCTAATCGGTGGAGTGAAACGATTTTTCTTTGAAATTAAATTTTATAAGGAAAATAAATGACGCATGCTAAGAATGAAAAAGTAAGATGGAAAAATTTATGTTACTTTTTATCGCATTTTTTTTTTTGTTGATAGGTGGCAAAAAATACAAAAATGCGAGCACCAATTGGTCGAGAATTATCCCCAGTTCCATGTTCAATGTTACTGCGATTATTTCCATTTGGTGTGGTGTTGAATCGCGATATGTGTATACAGGGAGTTGGCGGGAAGCTTTTACAAACTTGGGGTGGAAATTCATCCATTTTAAATAAACCAGTCACAGAAATTTTCAAGCTACGTAGACCAAAAGGAATTACATTCACTTGGGGAAATGTAAGCTTACCTTTTTTTTCTAACAATAATATGAAGAAAAAAAAAAAGTTTTATTTTTAATTGTTTTATTTTGAAAATTCACTTGAAATTATATTGAATCTTTCTACCGATTCTCGTAGTGATTAACCATTAAGAACATATATATATAATGATAAAACAAATATTTAGACACCCTCTTGACAATTTTTTTTTTCTATAGTTCTTCTCACTCTCTCTTTCTGAGTTAAAATAAACCATTATATGAAATTGGAAAGAAAACTTAAACGAAAGAAAAAAAGTTAATCCTTCCATTTTCATCTAATCTAAGTTAGAAATTTGAGCCAATATAAAAAGAATATAAAAATGAAATATTTTTGCCTAATAAAATAATTTATAATGTAATTTAAAAGACTAATTAATTTTTAAAGTAAAATTATTAAAAAAAATTAATTTCATTATAATTATAGGTTAAAAACCTTTTTTTATACTTAACAATTTTTAAAATAAAGAAAGAATTTACTGAATAAATAAAGTATCAGTAGTAAAAAAAAGTTTTAATCAGACATTTAAAGTATTTTAATTCTTCTGTCTATGAAACTAGTAGTAAAAGTCAATTTAAGTCAGACAGAAATAAATTTAATATTTCTTTTTTTTCAGTAGAAAATGTAATTTTCAGTCATTCAATATTTTTTAATTTTTCTTAGTGTTTAACTAGTAGTAAAAGTCAGTTTTGGTCAGTCAGAAATAAATTAAGTTTAAGTCAGAAAAAATATTTTAATACTTAGAATTTCTTTATCAGTGGAAGAAGTAATTTTTATTCAGACAAAATATTTTAATTTTTCTGTTTAACTAGTAGTAAAAGTCAATTTAGGACAGCTAGAAATAAATTAAATATTCTTGATTTCTTTATCAGTAGAAAAAGTAATTTTCAGTCAGACAAATAGTTTTTAATCAGTAGTAAAACTCAGTTTATGTCAAAAATAATATTAGAATATTTCCAATTTTTTTTTAACAGTAGAAAAAATAATTTTCAGTCAGACAAAAAGTTTGTAAATTCTTCTAACTGTGTAACTAGTAGTAGTAAAAGTCAGACAAAATATTTAAATACTTCGAATTTTTATCAGTAGAAAAAGTAATTTTTAGTCAGACAAAATCTTTTAACTTTTCTATTTAACTAGTAGTGAAATTCAGTTTAGGTCAGACAAAAATAAATTAAATATTCCCTATTTCTTTATCAGTAGAAAAAGTAAGTTTCCGTCAGACAATATTTTTTTAATTTTTCTATTTAATTAGTAGTAAAAATCAGTTTAGGTCAGACAAAAATGAATAAAACATCCTTTAGTTCTTTATCAGTAAAAAAAAGTAATTTTCAGTCAAACAAAAAGTTTGTAATTTCTTCTATGTAACTAGTAGTAAAAGTCAGTTTATGTCAGACAGATACACAAATAAAAATTGCAACAGTAAATAAAAATAAACAAATTCTAATAAATAAATATAATAAATAAATAAATTTGAATATATTATAAATAATAAATAAATAATTAATAAATAATAAATAAATAAATGAATAAAAAGATAAATAAAAAATTATCACTCATGGAAAAAAATAAATCTTAGACTATAATATATATTTAACAATTTCTATTTTTCGACAAAGTTGTTAATCCTTAAACCCATTGTTTAACCAGCTAATATATCTTCACTCAGTAATGTTTGAACTCGAGTTGATAAGGTCAACGGAAAATAATTTGAGTTCAACAAATAGCGAAGCTCCTAGTACAAGCAGCGGATTAGATAGAAGGGGAAGTCAGGGATCACGTAGCATATTACTTAAGGGACAAATGAGATATATAGAGGACATCAAGTCTATAATTTTCCTTTGCAGTCCACTGTAAGTCATTAACAACTATTTTTCGTCGCAGAATCAACGTTTTATATAGTCTCAAAATTGTCAAAAAATAAAAATTTATTTAATAATTGTTCCATAGAATCAACAGCTTAGATGAACTTCTTAGTATGGGCCTATATCTTAATGATCTTAATCCTCATGGATTAAGTAGAGAATTAGTTCTTGCCGGTTGGCAACATTGTGGAAGGTAATTATTATACATTTAAATGTAATCGCAATAAATCATTCTTGGACATGTATGATAAATGAGAAACAATTATAGCTATTATCCATATCTAGTTCATATATTTTATATTTATAAATCAATTTACTGAAATAAATTAATTATATTTTACGATAACCTTTATTCTGATATCAAATATCATATAACATTTATCTCTATTAATAAAATTGTTTATAAATATTATTTTTGAATATAAATTGGAAATGTGACCTTTTTATTTCTCGTTTTTTGTGTTTCATTTTATTATTTCTTTTTTTTCTCTCTGATGTATATATATTTTTTTGGTTTGCATTGCTTATTCATTGATGATAAAAATTTCTATGGAAATGGTAAAAAAATAAAGAGAAAATTATTTTGTTGTCTATAGATTGGAAATGATGTTCGAGAGAGCTGAACAAAGGTCACAGGAATTGGAAAATAGTTACGCCCTTTTAGATCGTTGGAAAAATAAAAGCGACGAACTTTTGTATTCGATGATCCCTCAAACTGTTGCTGACCGTTTACGAGCAGGGGCAAGTCCCTTAAGCACTTGTGAGGTGGAACTATATTTATTTATTTTCTTTCAATCTCTTTTTTTTTTTTTTTTTTTGTTCACAGCAAAGAAATCCTATAAATGTCAAAATATATTTAATATATATAGAAAAAAAAATGTTTTTTTTTTCCAGTCGTTTGAATCGATAACAGTGATTTTCTGCGAACTTTGTGAATTTGATTATTCGACAATTGAAGGTGCAATGGATATTGTCACTTCAATGAATGCCGTTTTCTCCTGCTTCGATTCTTTAATGGATAAATTTAAAGTTTATAAAGTAAATAATTTTAAAATTTTGTTAATTTTTTTGATATAATATAATTTTTTATAATTATCCTTTTGGTAATTATTAAATTATTTTCTTTAATTAAAAGAATTGTTCGAATTGTATATAGGATATTTGAAACAATGCAATGGCAATAAAAAGAAAATTATGTTTTAACAGGTGGAAACAATTGGTCGAGTGTACATGGCTGCCAGTGGTGCGCCAGATAGAACAGAAGATCACGCGAGAAATGCTGCGGATGTGTCCATTGAACTGCTCAATAATGTTCGCTCTATAAAACTTCCATCTGGCCAGGATATTCACATTCGAATAGGTAACTTTCTCTATATATTTGAATTAGAAAAAATATTCCATTCTAAAAGACAAAAAAAATTGATACAATTTTTGAAAAAAATAATAAAAATTAGAAAATTCTACTTTTCTAACGAAAAAATAAAAAAATATTTGCCTTAGAAAATGTGAAACTTTTTTTCATGATCGATATCAACAAAAGTGTCTTTTACCCCATGGGGGAAAAAAAGGGGGAAACCAAGAAAAGCTGGTCAGATTAAGCGTCTTCATATATATAAAGAGTGTAAGATACGTGTCAAACTTGTAAATTGGATGTTTCTATTGCAGGAATTCATTCTGGACCTGCAGTTGCTGGTGTTGTTGGAATTAAAGTACCCAGATATTGCTTTTTCGGTGATACTGTCAACACAGCATCCAGAATGCAAACAACAAGTGAGGTTGGTATAATTTTCAATATTATTATATTAAATTCACAAATTAATTTAAAAAAAATTTTTTTTTTCAAAAATTTAATAAAAAATTTTAATTAAAAAAATTTTGAAATAAAAATAAAATTTTTATACAGCCAGGTAAAGTGCACATATCACCGGACACAAAAGCACTATTGCCAGAGGATCGATATCATTTGGAGCCACGTGGAGTGGTTAGTGTAAAGGTAAACTCATCTGATATATATAAAAAAAAAGTTATTCCCCTCTAATTCTCATCCCTTCTTTCTTTACTTATTGTAACATAAATCTTTAGGGAAAAGGAAACATGGAGACATACTGGCTACGTGAGAAAAATCACAGAAAATCTTCATCCAATGGAAAGGAAATATCAATGAAAGATCATTGAATATTATAAAAGCGATAAATAATTTTTTCCCAACCATTTGGTTTCGAATTCTAGTCTTTCTCAATATATAATCAAATAAATTTTTCTTAAAATCTCAAATAGAAATTAATTTTTATTAACAAAAAAAAACATATCGACATATTTGTAAAATAAAGTAGCAAATAATTTTTATTTTATTATTTATTTCCAATAACTTTGTATAATTTGAAGAAAAATTTTAAATTAATGAATAACGAATTTTGCAATAATAATAATTAAATATAGTAAATGATGAAACAATATAATATTATATAGATAAATCAAATTAAGAGACTAAAATGTTTCCATAATAAAAATAAAGTTAAAATTTTTTCCCCGCATATAACATTATATAGTTCCAAAAGAGAAATATAATAAATAAAGCGAGAATTTTTTTCAATTTGACTAGATAGAACACCAACGTTTTATATTAGATCATAGATAACGGTTTAAGTCTAATAAACATGTGTATACATCGTTGTTTAAATTCCGCGGTACGTGATCCTAAAACCACAAAATCCTTGTTTTACTCTGAAATTATAATATAACATCATCATATATTATTTCTCATAAAATTTGCACATGGCAAATTTTTCACTCAAAAGTAAAAATAAAATAAAAAAATAAAATTCTTTAATTTTAATTAAAAATTTTTTAAATAGTAAAATTTATTTTTAAAAATTAATAAAAATAATTTTTTTCAATTTATATTACATTCCTTGTTTTTTTTCAGGATTATTGAATTAAAATTTAGGATCACGAAAATTCTTTCGAATTTATTAATATATATATATATATATATATATATACAATCAGTATTAAAAAAGACTCAACCAAAAAAAAGGCCTAAAATTTTATTTTGTTTAATAATAAAAATTAGTAAAATAATTTCTTCCAATAAAACTATATGTTTAAAATATTCTCTAGGATTAATTCAATTAAATATATATATATATATATGTGAAGCGTGCCTTAATTATCAAAAATATATGTAACTGCATATAAAATTTTAGATAGTTATCCTGTCCTTTTTATCTCAATTGTACAAATATTTACTGTAAATTAAAGAATTTAAACAATTTTGCTGTTATTTAATATTTACCAAATACAATATTGTTTCGTTTGTTTGAGTTAATTTTTTATAGTTATTACTGTTAATTAATTACTTAATAAATAATTATTTCTACTAATAAATATTATTACCAAATAAATTATTGCAACAATGGAAAATAAATAATTTACGATAAATAATTAAATATAGAAAAAAAAAGTGAAAATTTTAACATCAAAAAATAAATGAAATTATATAACAATGATATAAAAAAAAAATGATATAATCAACAATAACAGGCATCAGCTGTGTTGCGATCTATCCATGTCAAATAACGATTAACTCTTGCGTAAACGCCAGGATAATTGGGTTGAGCACATCCTTCACCCCAGGAAACTACTCCTTTATTCATCCAAAGGGAAAACGTTAAATATTTCATATATTAGATTTTATAAATTTAAATAGAATTTATAGAATTTTATTTAATTTTTTAAATCTCTTACCAACAATCTGATGTACTCGTCCTTTTCGTACATGTAATGGACCACCACTATCGCCCTATATGAAACATAGATTTTTTTTTTTTAATTAATATCCTTTTTTTACTCTCTTATTTTGTTTTTGTTCTTCTCAGTAAATTGAGTTTTTGTAGTAAAAAAAAAAAAGGAAAACTTTTCGTTAAGCTTTTGGAATAAAAAAAAAAAAAAACTTTCTTTCAACACTTTGAGAAAGTTTATCCTTTTTTTGTTTTTGTTAGAAAAAAAGTTTTCTATTTATACAAAAGTATATACCTGACATGAATCTTTTGCCCCCTCTTTGTAACCAGCACATAACATGTTATCAGTAATTCTTCGCGCTGGATATCGACTAGTACGACATTCTGCATTTGAAATAATGGGTACCATGACCTCTCGTAAAACCGATGAAACCGGTCCAGATTGTTCAATGGCACCCCATCCAGTCACAATGCCTGTTATGCCAGAGAAAGTCTTGGCTATAAGGAAACACTGATTATTTTTTTTTTTCCTTATTGCAATTATTTTTTTTCTGTATTTTACCAAACTAAATAGACTTGAACAATAATATTAAAAATTATTTTCCATTAAATGATATATGTTAATATTGTTATCTGTTGTATTAAGATATTCGAAGGAAAAAAAAAATCATAACTCACTTTTTTCAGGCAGGCAGACAGGTCTCATTTTTCCTTGAAATTTAAATTCACCACTGATTCTAATCAAAGCGATATCATTGTCATAATTTATTGTCGAATAATCTCCATGGCGAATAATTTCCTCAATTTGAAAATTTTCAACTTCCGACTCGGATGTTGAATTTCTGTCATGTTCAAATATTCTCACAGTTAATGATTTCTTCTCAAACCTATATGACAGGAAAAATTTAAAAATCAAATCTTATTCTAAAAGAATTAAAAATCTGAATTTTTTGTAAAAAAAAAAAAATTTACCTATCAACTACACAGTGGGCAGCTGTCAGTACATATCGAGAATTAATTACACTAGCACCACAATAAAATCGTCCTTTATGGAACAATAATGCCATCCATGGATATTCGTTTACTTGCGTTTCCACTCCGCCAACAATTCTATGTTGTTTATTTGTTAAACCACAATCTAGAATAGAGGATGATAATTATTAAAAGTAGTGAAAAAAAATGAGTTCGTCATTGAAAAAAAATTACCGCAAGAAGGACAAGATTCTTGATGAGATGGTACATGAACAGTTGAAGGTCTAACAGTCGTTGTAGTTGTCGATGGTTTTGGAGCAAATATTTGTTGCCACCAATCAGGCCATATGTAATTTGTTGCATTGAGCGTTACGTTACTGTTTTCCTATAAAAAAAACCATTTTTTAAAAAAATACAAAAAGAACCTAATTTGATAAGAAACTTTTTTTTTTTTTTTTGACATTGTTTCTCCCCTCAATTTCAAGAATAAATTATGGGGTAAAATAGAAAGAGAGATAAATCGAGACGAGAAAAAAAAAAATTATTCTCCCTTACCTGATTAGATGATACTCTTGAGACTGATGCCACTACAAAGATCAGGAAAGCTAACGTGACGTGCATCCTTGGTTGGTGCCAGCGGCGATAAAGTCATGTATGCTTCCTTATACCTCTTTCCAATGTGCGAATGAAACTATACGCGCGTATTGTTTTAATTCGATCGGCAAAAACCGCCGGCCTACTCGACAGACACTTTCACACAGGCTTCAATTTCTGTGCCACATCTTTATTTATACGGAATACTGGACAAACTAGTACTCCACGTAAAAAAAAAAAATTTAGGCTAGTCGTATGTTAATTTTTTTTTTCCAAAAAAAAAAATTAAAATTAAACGAACTTCAACAAAATATAATCAATTAGGGAAATAAGATTTATTTTTATCAAAAGAAGTAATTACAAATTAAAATAATAATAACAAAAATTAATTGCAAAAATGCAAAATAAGTCAAAAAAAAAAAAAATATTAAAAATAATTTTTAATCATATGAAAATCAAAATAGAAAAAAATTTTCCAAGAAAGAGATGTATGATTTGTGAAATGCGATAAAGATTAAGATATGCGACCTATTTTGTTTTTTTCTTTTTCTTTTTTTAAAAAAAAAAATTTTTTTTTTTTTGTCGATTAGTTTAAGCGATATTAGTCATATCTTAGAAGGACGCAATTAAATGTGCGTATGATTCGTGTCTTATCGGAAATTTAACTCGCAGACCAAAAGATAAAAAAATTGTCAGTAGAGATTGCATATTAGTCTTATACCTGTAACCCATAACAGTGGGTCAAGGTATATGGGTCACGACACCCTCATGCGGGTGAGGCGCCTCACTTTAATGTCTTAACGTGTGTATCTATATATAAATGTTGTCACTTTATTATCAAAATCCTTGCTTTTCTTTATCCCAATAACCAAAGTGACCAGGGTCACATCCCACTTTTCCTTTTTTTTTTTTTTTCAAATCGTCGAAAAATTATGCATTTTATTACGTGTTGGAATTATGCAGTCTTTTTTGATAAAAGTTTAATAATAATTACACAAGTTGGAAATAATATATAACACATGAGTAATGATTTTTTATTAAAAAAAAAAAAAAAAATAGTAAAATTTAAATTTTTCTCTCGATAGAGTAATTACTCTTAATTACTTAAATTATTAAATAAAAGTATATTACTTTGTACAAAATATTTTAATTAGAAAATAGTATATTTAGATACTTTTAGAATTAAATGTGTTTATTTTTAACTTTTAATTGTAGTTTACGTAGTTTTTTAAAAAAATACAAATCAAGGAGATTTTCATTAACATGATATTATTATAGTCATTAAAATCTTGTATTTATTCAAAATTTAATGTTTTTTTTTTTTTTTTTTTTATTTTACGTGCGGAACTATGACATAAATTATTTTACTTTCTTTTAACTAGGCATAAAATAAACTTGACTCATTAATTACGAACCATGAACAACCTGTGTAGCTCAAACAGCGTAAATAATAACTTAATTTCAATGTAAATTATAAAAAAAAAAAAAAAATTAAATACTCATCTAGAATCGAATCGATTTTTCGAAAATCGGATTTAAATACAAATTATATACAAACTTATTCTGTATAAATAAATTTTTCCGTATAAAAAAAGAGGATAAATAAAATTAAAAACAAATTTTTTTCTACTAAAAAGAAAAATAAATAAAATTTACAATAATTAAAAAAAGTAAATAAATAAATTATTAAAAAATTTAAATTTGCTAATAAAAATTACATTATAAAAAAAACAATGATTTAATTTCTGAGGGAGAACAATGTTTTACTTTAATCTTTATGCAAAAGAAAGACTTTGTAATTTTTGGCTGACTATATCTCGGGAATTCTACTCAAAGCGGAGTATACATCAAAGAATATAAAATGTATTCTAAAAGAATCAACACAAAATTATATAAAAATTTTCCAAACTCACAATTTTCAAAAAACCATTATTTAATATATTTTTAATTATTTAGAAAATAATAACCTCTTATTCAATATTGTTGCAGGGAAGAAATTTCAAAACTTTCAAATTAACAATTTAAATGAATCTAATATAAATTCCGTGAAATATTTTACAAGCCTTGAGGGTTAACTAAATAATAAGACGAGTTTCTGAACTGAATCACTAAAAACTTATTAGAACCGCACATCTCACATTATATTTACTCCAAGATAATTAAGTTTTTGTCTAAAGTTACTTTTCACTCTTCTCATAAATAATAGTCAAGTATTTCTAAGAAATTGTATAAACTTTTTTTTTTTCTTAACCACAAGTTTATGAAACTAAGAGCAAGGGCAAGTATCCATTTAATTCGACCTGATTCTATCTCGACTCATCTCAATGTCTTCAGGATAAATTGCACAAAAAAAAAAAAAATTAATTCTTTCCAAAGAAAAATACCCGGTTTAAAAAATTAATAAACAAAAAAAATTTACTTTTTAATTATCATAAAAAACTAAATTCAAAATAAAAAACATAAAAATAGATTTAACAAAAAATGAACCAAAATTTTAATAAATGAAGAGGCCGATTTTTTAATTGAACCAACTTTTTAATCGAATTTACTGAAAATATCTCATTATACAAGGTTTGAAAGTGAAACTCGAGCATGATGTACCAAAGATGGCTTGAATGCAATTTTAGTCGATAAAAAAAGCGAGCGATGCACACAACTTTCATTTTTGGTGGGCTGACGAAATTGAAATTGATATGGTCGAATTATTGTGCATCGAAACAAGGAGACGTATACAGTTTCCACACGTGCTGACATTGGTAGATAAGTTTTGATTATAATAAAAAAAAAAAAGAAAAAAGAAAAAAAAAATTACGCCATCCCGTTGAATTTTTCTTCACATTAAGAGACAACAATAGCAACAGGTGATTTTAAAACCTGCGACATACACCAACATTTGCCAATACAAACGCTCCATTCAAGGTGAAAATCCCCACCAGATGTGGCAGCTTTATTAGTTATAATATACTATATAAAACGGCAAAACCACCTCAATCTTTACTTCTCACGTTCGGCACGCGACACGCGAATAATTATTGCCAAGGTATATATAGAAGCCATTTGGAGGTATACCAATTGATTTTAATAATGGAGAAAATATACATCATTGCGTGCTTGCTCATCACATCTTTTGAAAATTATTTTATATCAGCCACCCCTCTTAAAGTAAGTAATACAAAAATTTTTTTTCCTTCATATCAAATTTCAAAAAATTACCCTATATAAGTTGAGAATGATTTATTTCAACCCTCGTGACAATTCTAAAGGCTCGTTAATCATTTTATCTTTTTAAAATTCTCTTCGAAAAGTTTTCTTTATTAAAATTATTGTCATGTTGACAAAAGGACTTTTCAATTTTTAGCTTACATTAATATTAAAAACAATCATTCATTCGAAAAATTCGCTTCATAAATAATAATATAAAAAATATAAATAAAAATTTATGAAACTGAATTACAATGAAAATTAATTTTTTTTTTGTTTACTTACTTGAAAATTAATTTTAAAAAAAGTCACTTTTTGTTACACCTTATATTGGACCGAATTTTATTAACGAGATGTAAAAGAAAATTTTTTTTGGAAAAATGAATATTAATGAGATTAAAAAAATTTTTTATTTGGAAAAATGATAAATTTAAAGGAAAAACTATATATTTGAAAAAGCACGTTTTCTTCTCTCATTTGAACTGTGATACAGTGTGGGAGGGAATGCGCGGGTTAAACACCTCAGAGTCACGTGTAATGCGTAGCTTACTAGTCTTACCTATGTCATGACTCCCGGTTAACATAGTTTTTCGTAATGAGTAATGTTTTGTTATAATGTATGTTAAGATATGCCTCCACATGTGCATTTCACTTCATACGTAATATTTTCCATATATAGTAAAATAATGTCCTCATTTAATAGAGACGACAAAAATTGACCAAATATTATGTCAGGGTTGATGCAAAATATTTCTATTTTAAAAATACGAATTTCTTGAACGAAAAAAAAACTTTAACTATTTTCTTTCTGTAACAATTCTGTTACAAAAAACGGTTTAAAAACATAATCTTCGTAAACTCATATAAATTATAAAAATGACTAAAGAAGTTTATTTTTTAATTTTTTTTTCGGTTAATGAAAAAATTGAAAGAATATTTTTTTCTCATTTTTCAATTCTTAAATGTTTATTTTATGATAAGAAACAATTTATAGTAAAGTATCTATTATAAAGATTGTAATTTTCTGATTAGGCGTAAATATGCGCACATCATAAACTGAGAAGCATATCTCATTGCCCCCATATATGAAATTCTGTTCATGTAAATCATATTTTTAATCAGAGTAAAATAATAATAAACAAGAAAAATTTTTATCGCGTTACTTAATTTTGAAAACCTGTCACAAGAATAAATATATAAAAATTGAATTTTGGTTTACAATTTTATGACAAAATTTATTTAATGATAAACAATACGAACTAACTAATTCTTTTTTTTACTCTCCGTCCAATAATTCTTGGATTTATTGAATAAATCTTCTATTCTATATTTTTTTCTAAAAAAAAAAAAAATTCTAACATAATTTGCAGATATTTGGAAGAAGAGAGCCAAATTTACCTCAATCGAATGCTCAAGTTCATTACAATATAACAAAATCACAATTAGGTGATTCTGATTTAGACGAAATATCATATATAGATTATGACGTATCACCATCTAGAAGACCGCGAACATGCAATAATTGTGGTAATTAAATTTTTTTCTCTTACGATGTGAAAGAAAAAAAAAAAAAAAAATTTTTTTTTCTACAAAAAATTTCCAATTTTTCCAGTTTGTGGAATCAGTAGAACAAGTAGAATTGTTAATGGAAATTTAACAGAATTTTTCGAATTTCCATGGATTGCCAGCATTCATATTGGTGGGAAATATCAATGTGGAGGAAGTCTTATCACTCAAAAACATATTCTCACTGCCAGTCATTGTTTATTCACGTAAGTTGAAAAAAATTATTTATGAATTAATTAGGAAAAAAGTGGAATTTGCGCAGCTAATTAGGCTAATTAAAACAATATAATTTATGTATAGATATTTTTTGTTTTTTTTTAATGAAAAAATTTCAGCGACGATCCCCAGGATTATTTGATTATTCTGGCTGATAATAATTTACCAAATAGTAAGGAATATTTAATGAAACGAGGTGTAGCATCTCTTAGAGTTCATAAGGATTATGATAGTACTTCTAAAAATAATGATATTGGTATAATTGAACTTGATCGGCCAGTACCACTCGATGGAAGTATTCAAACTGCCTGCCTCCCAGAAGATAGTAAGCAATTAATTAAATAACAATAATTAATAATAATAATAATAATGACAAATTTCATATATATTTAAAAAATTATTTTTTTGAAAATCACGATTTCTTGCCTTTTTTTCATAGAAAAAAAATTTTGAATACTTGCTTTAAAAAGAAATAAATTGTAAATTTTGTCATAGAACCAATCGATTACTCGGGAGCTTTAGCAGTAGTGGTTGGTAGAGGTAAGACGGGAGAAGATGAGGCTATAAGTGATGAATTGCGTAAGGTTAACGTTCACATTTTACCCGAAGAAGAATGCAAACAGACTGGATATGAAGAAGGAAAAGTGACAAGCAACATGTTTTGTGCTGGATATCTTGATGGACAATATGATTCTTGTCATGTAAGTATTCAAATATAATAATTAAATCATACCAAAGTTAATCAATATCTAATCATAATTGAACACAAATTACATTTTAAAAAAATATTATTTTACATATATAAAATAGTAATAAAAAAAAACAAAATAATACTAAAAAATTGAAATGAAAATAATTAATGGAAATAATAACAATAAATAAATTAAAAACAAAATAATTTTAGGGAGACAGTGGTGGTCCTCTTCATGTGAAAGCATCACATGGTTTCATGGAAATCGTAGGTAATTAATAAAAAAAAAAGAAGCATTAATCATTTTCATCCGACAATATCTGAAGTTCTGAACATTCAACTGAACGATATTTTGACCTATAAATTTTTAAAAAAAAAATTATTACAGTAATGAAAAATAAAAATTAAATTAAACATTTAAAAAATTATTAATATTTTATAATAAAATTTAACTTGAAAGAATGTAGTAAACAAATTTTTCGTTCATTTCAAAATTCAGAACTTGAAGCACATATAAGAATTGTTGAAAAAAAAAAAAATTAAAATCCCTTCAGGGTTAATTTCTTGGGGTCGAGGTTGTGCAAGACCCAGATTCCCTGGGGTGTACACGAGAGTTACCAACTACATGGACTGGATTGCAAATCAACTGAATCAAGATAACGCGTGTGTATGTCAACATCCACAATGAATAATTAAAAAATTATAAAATTTCATTGCAATCAAAAAAAAAAGTTATGATGAAAATTCACAAAAAAAAATTTTATATTAGACAAAGATTAAAATAGTTTAAAACCGCGATTTTTTTTTCTTAGTTAATTACAAGATATATACACAGAATTATTACTCAAAAAGATAAGGAATTTTTTCATCATATCTTTTTCTCTCCTAATATTGACAAGAGACAAATTGATTACTGATCGACGATCAGATAACAGTGCAAACTTTAATAATGTCTATATAAGCGAATTTTCAAAGATTAATCGACTTCACGAAATGAGATATATTTTTAGGCAAACGCCACTTTTGCAACATTTTTTTTTTTTATTATATTTTTTAAAACGCTGCACATGCAAAAACACAAAAGTCATTTTAGAGCAAATTTCAGGTATTGAAGTAAAAATAAATAAATTTTATACCCGAAATCTGTTTTAAAATTGACATTACGTTTTTGTAGTGTACAATGTATATTTTTAATATATATTTTTATATTAATGTACCACATAAAATAATATACATTTTTATATAAAATGTATAATATTGAATACAAATTTTGATAGAAACATAAAAAAAATAGTTATTAAATTTTACTAAACAATTTTAATTTTAATTGAATAAAATGAAAAATAATTTAGTAAAATTTATTAATCGACGTAATCTCAGTGCATTAATTTATAATCTATATTAATTAATACAAAATGACAAGAGTCTCGCTCTATTTCTACCAAGAGGCTATATATTATATTATTTATTATAAATATAATATTATATTATATTTATAATATTTATATAAAAATATAAAAATAAATGCCAAATATCCATGAAAATTCAATATTTTTTTTTTTTTCATTTATAGAAAAATATGTATTTTCATGGAAAAAAATGTTTAACATCAATCCATATAATAAAGGATTGATCAAAAAGTATAAAAAATAATTTTTCCCCTATTTTGCAAATTTAAGTATAGTTGATTAGTTTCACCTATTGTAAGCAAATTTTCTTGTATTGAAATTCGATTGGTTATACCTCCATCCAATGGCTATCTCTATTATCCTAAATTACGCGTGCAATTGAGTCCTTATTCTATAAAACATTAATCTAGTCCAAAGTATCCAATATCCGCCATCACGTCAAATTTATGAGAATATTCATATTTTCAATAATAGAGAAAAGTTGCTTTCTGTATGGAAAGTACATGCTGACAAGAAAAGACTTTTTTTTTTTTATAATGTAAGAAAGTTTTTAAAAAAAAAAAATTGACAAGAAAATTCTAAAAAGAAAGTTTTAAGGAACAATATTTTTATTATTAAATAATAAATGTTTTTTATCTGAAAGAAAAGAAAAATTTTATCTATGTTATAAATATATTATTAAATTATATATAAATGTTATTTCACAATTGAATTTTATGAATATTCTATTGTTACAAATGAAGGATGGATTATGGATAAAAAAAAATATATATATATATACGTGTAAAGAAAAAACCTCTCTTTGGTGCTGTGATGTATGAACTTACAAATATATTTGAATTATAAAATAAAATGAATGTGCTGATAATAATTACAGTGTTTTTTTTTTATTTATCAAGAAATAATTCACTAGGCAGCTAAAAATAGCGCGTATTTTATCAGGATTTCATTTTTGAATGAAAATAATCAATCGGCTGTTATTAGTCAAATTGGAATGATTTTTTTTAAGTACAGTCACAGTAAATATACTCAATCACGGTTCAATTATTATTTTATGAATTGACAGAAAATCAATGTAACTAAATTGCTTGTTGCATATGATCAATGTACAGCAATAATTTACTTGTCATCGAAAAAATCTTTGCAATCAAAAATATATCGTTGTTTTTTTTTTAGAATATTTTAATGAAATTTTATTTCCAAATTTAGTATAAATTACTTTTAAAATATGAATGAATATTCTTAATTTAAGAATAAATTATTAGAAAAAAAGTACTAAGAATATATTTAAAAATTTTTTTAAATTCAAATTTTAAAAGTATTCTATACTAAATTTAAGAATAAATATAAAAATATTCTAAATTACTCTTAATCGAAGAGGAAAACTTCTTTTTACCTCTCTTTAAAAAAAAAATATTCTATTATTTTTATAGTGATTATTTTTGTTTTAAGGGGAAAGAGTCAAATAATCTTCCTCTCAGTATAAGATTATTTGCAGAGTGCGTTCATAAGAAAATGCTAAAGTTCAAATATATAAAAAAATACTTGATCAATTTTTTATTTATAATTATTGTCGCATGCTAATGAGAAAATCTATTCGATAAATAAGGAAGATTCGAATATACCTAAAAACCGGGTCACGAGTCTGATTCGTTTTGCTTTCAACGATAAATGTGGGTTAGTGAAACCACAAGACCGTTACTGACAAAGCGTGACTCCTCTTTTGATTCTTCATAAGATTCAAAGTGTAAGTGAAAATGCACCTGAAAAGTGATTATCTCGAAAATTAATTCTGTGGTAGAAACCCTCTCTAAAAAAAAATTTGTTTTTAAAAAATTTAATTAATAATTTTATGCAAATTTCATTTTCTTTGCATAGAATATTGTAAAAAAAGTTTATATTTTTTATTTTCAGAAGGGTATATATATAGTTATCAGGGAATTTCCGACAAATATTACGTTAAAAAAAAATTCTCGTCACGGAGTTCCGAAAGAAAAAAAAAAAAAAAATCGATTCCTTATTATTCTCGTTATAAAAGAACTGTAACGTCATTGGCATCGAAGCGTGTGTCTTTTTTTTGGATAAAAAATATATATAAAGAAATACGTTCTATGAGCGAATGACTAATATTCAAATTTCAAAAAGTAGCATCGCTAGGTACACCTTTTTATAATTAACATAATATAACGGACTTTACAATCAGATGTAAATTTCGTCTTCCAACACAAGGAAACTTTCTATTGATTATTAGAAGATATGAAAATATATTTAAAAAAATTAGTTCCCTTTGCATTTTATTTATAAAAAAAAAAGAATTTAAGTATTATTTAATAATTAATAGATTTTGTTTATTAATTTTTGATAATTAAAATTTTTTTAAATATGTATTTAAAAATTTTTAGTTTAAGACTAAATGGATTTATTATTTACTGTTTCATTGTATGTGTATATTGATAGAAAATGTAAAGAATGTACAACTTTCCATCCATTCACATGAATGACAAACGAATAAATGATTTAACAGCGCTCACTTTCCAGATTTCTTTTCAATTTATAATTAACTGATGACAATCAGGAAAGTGTCCTCTATATATATGAAAAAAGAACTTGAAATATATATCTAAATATATAACTAAGATTGTCACAAATTCTTTTTTTTTTCATATATATATATATATATATATATTATTTGCCCGCGATGTAATTGGTGCAATTGGCCGTCTCGTATATAGAGGAATACTACTTGGACACGAAAATTGTAATATTTCAAAGAGAAAGAACTTTCTTCGTGTTGTGGCTCACAGAACGGTGGCTGACTATAACAAGTTTGATTCCGGCGCGACATGTCGGAACGAGAGATGGTGAAAGCAAACCAACAATCTCATCAAGATTCTTGTGATCTTCAGTAATCTTTTGATACAAATTTTCGTGCTCACAACATTCGGTTGTCGGTTATTTTTTTCCTCGCACCGAGACGAAAAATACACGCTTTTATAATGCGCGTTCATCGGAGATTTATTTTATATTATAAGTGTTGTGACCAAGTAAAAATAGTTGGATAAAAAAATTATTTGAAAAAAAAAAATTAAATTCGAGTTTTTTTTTTAATAGAAAAAGAGTTTAAAGTTTATGGTAAATTTTTCTTCTTGGAGAATGGATTTGTTTAATAAGATCAGTGTCAATGTAATTGTGCTTGTTATTTATTTTATTATAATTGGACAAGGCTATAAAGTGAATTTAAATAATTATGGACATGAAGAAAATGATGTTTTTGTAAGTGAAAAATAAAATTATTTTAAACTTATTATTAAAAAAAAAAAATTCCTGTTTGAATCACTAATATTTTTATTGATTGATATAAAAAAAAAATTATCAAACATTCTAGTTGAATATCATTTCTTTTTTATTTTTATTTTAAAAAAGAAATGAAAATTGTAATATACAATTTTCCATATAAAGAAATTAAAAAATAGAAAATAAAAATAAAGTACAATAAAAGGATGTTCGATAAAAGAACAATTCAAGTTTTCCGGAAAAAAATACCAATTCATATTGTATGTGGTTTGGAATATTGCAAAAACAAATTTCATTTATTTTTTATTTTTATTTTAACTCATATACCCAGTTCTCTCTATCTCTCTCTCTCTACAACATTATTGGATTGACTCTTCAAAACTTCCATTCTTCAACGTTATTTTCACCAGTTCAAAAAAAAACAAAATTGTACTTCATAAATAAATGTCAATTTCAAATGGTTTATTTTTTGAAAAATTGGCCCTTTCAAATATAAAAATTTTCTCAAGGAAAAATATATTCTTAAAATCTACTGTAAAATAAATAAAAAAATATTTTTGATTTAAAAACAATTTTATATTTTTAATAAAGAATAAATAATTTTTATTTCTATTATATACAAAATTGATAATTTTTTTCCAGTTAAGAATATTGTTTATTAATTCAGAAAAATATCATTAAAACAATCAAAAGAATTATAGAAATTACGATACATTGTTCTTGTAAATTTTTTTTTTTTTACAGTTAAAGAAAAACAATCGATCGGGAAAATTTTTGTTTGACGAAATATTTGGAGTGGACATTACGGGCACAGATTCAGATGTTGAAACAGAAGCAGAAAAAATACGAAATTGTTCCTGTGGTAAAATTTAATTATTAGCCCCTTTGGAAAATAATTTTTTTTTAATATAAGAATATGAATTTAAAAAGCAGGAGGGAAGATAAAAAAAAAAATTGTGCATTATCATTTTCAGAATGTGGGATTACAAATCAAGAGATAAGAATTGTGGGTGGAAAACCGACTCTTCCACATAAATATCCTTGGATAGCGAGGATTGTTTATGATGGGAAATTTCACTGCGGTGCTAGTCTACTTACAAACGATTATGTGATAACTGCAGCTCATTGTGTCAGAAAGTAAAGTTTATTAGTGTTATTACGCCGGCAAAGCTCTTAGGAAAATTTTATTTTAATATTATCATAAATTTTACCATAAACATACATTTATAAAACAAAATTTGTAAAATCCTCTCAAGGTATCAAAGTCTTTTTTTTTTATAATTGACAGTTTTTATTTACTACCAGAGCTAACTAATTTGGATATAATAAATATCATACAAAATTTTATTATTATTGATTAAATAATAAATTAAATTTCTTTATATTTTCAGGTTGCAGAGAACGAAAATTAGAGTAATTTTGGGAGATCACGATCAATATGTGAACAGTGATGGAGTAGCAAAAATGAGAGCAGTTAGACAAATAATACGACATCGAAATTTTGATATGTATTCATTTAATCACGATGTAGCTTTACTTCGATTGCGAAAACCAGTAACATTTTCAAAATCAATCAAACCAGCCTGCTTACCCAATTCAGGTAAACTAAAAAGTTTTTATTTTTAATTAAATATTTTTCTAAAAGAAATAATGTTTTTTTGATACAAAAAAGAAGGAAATTTTTTTTTTTCAGTAATTTAAGTAACGGTAACATAATTGTGGCATTCTTTTTAAAAGATTCATTAAGAGAAATTGTATTTAATGAAAATAAATTGTAGATAGAATCCGGGACAAATCGGATACTAGGTGATTAAGAAAAATTGTTTCTCACAAAAAAAAGGGTCTGCTTGAATTGACCAGAAAGTATCCTATATATATTTTAAAAATAAAAATATATTTTAATTAAACATTAAACAAAATCAAAAATTGATTTATTCAATTAAATTATTAAATAGAAAAATAATCTGAACTTTCACTATACAATGCAAAGCCAGTGTATTAATAAATCAAACGTTACATTTCAGTTTCCGAACGTTGTATATTTTAATTAAAAAAAAAAAATAGTAAAAAAATAAAATCGCATTTGCAAAAATTATAAACCAAAGAACACAAGAAGTGCATTAAAGTTGAAAAAGTGGAATTTTCTCATTTTTTCTTATTTAATACCTAACAACATTTTAGAGGCAAAGTTTTATAGCAACTTTTTTTATATCCAAACAAAATGCAAGAAAAATCAATTTCCAATTAAATTTATCGGAACGTAATTAATTGTTAGTAATAGACAATTAATTTGATTGAATATTTATTTGTGGCTTCTAACGTATAAAAAAAAGGAGAAAGAAATTGTTTTTTCTATTTTTAAATGTAATGCTTCAATTGCAGATGAAGATCCTGGGGGTAAGGAGGGTACTGTCGTTGGTTGGGGACGTACGAAAGAAGGAGGAATGCTTCCTGGTGAAGTTCACGAGGTTCAAGTTCCAATTTACTCTCTTACACAGTGTCGGAATATGAAATATCGAGCCAGCCGTATCACTGACAACATGATATGTGCCGGACGAGGATCGCAAGACTCTTGCCAAGGTGATAGTGGTGGTCCATTACTTGTGCAAGAAGGTGATAAATTAGAATTGAAAGGTAATTTAAACTTTCGTTTATATTTCACCAATCAAATTAATTACTGTATATAAATTTCAAAAACTATAACGAAGAAAAAGATGAAAATTATATTCATTTTAATTAGTTTCTCCAGTCATCGGATGCTAGTCAATTTAAAAACATTTATTTTATTATTTTCCTAAATATTATTTTAATATTTTTAAAATTAATTTCAATTACTTTTTAATTAAATTTTCTTTTTTTTGTATTTCAAGTGTTAGAATAATTATTTTTTTTTTTTTGCAGGAATAGTATCTTGGGGAGTAGGATGTGGAAGAGCTGGTTATCCCGGCGTCTATACGAGAGTTTCCAAATACTTGAACTGGATTCGTACAAATATGAAAGATTCGTGTCATTGCATTACCTGAACATTCCTAGTTGCATTTTATATAAAATTCAATCATAAAGTTAAATTCTGGTTACGTAAGCGGAAAACTTCTATTATGAAATTCAATACAATTTAAATGCTATATTGCTCATAATAATTCTTAAAAAAATATTCTTAAAGAAAAATAAAAATTTATGAAAACATTCTAAAATAGGGGCTAAGAATTTATTTGAAGAATTGCAAAAATATTAAAATGACACGAAAAAACTGTACAATAAAAAAAGAAACTCACTGTACAGAAAAAAAAGCTCAAAAATGTGTGATATTTTACAGCAAATACATATTATTTATAAACAAACAAGTTCAATATTCATGTAACAAATTAATTTTAATAGAATAATTCTCTCTAGTGACGAAAAATACAAAATTTTTAAATTTAGATCAAATTTTAATTAAAAATTTGTAAAATAGGTTTATTAATTTTTAGAATAAGAAGGGAAAAAACAATAAGATGTAAAACAAGTGTAAATGCACAACTGTAATTGAACTAATTTATGTAAATTCTATTGCGGTCGTGCAGTAATTTAACGGTTCTCTATATCGTACCAAAGCTGCTATCATAAAGATATTTTTTAAAGAAGAAAAAAAATATGTCATCATTGTAAAGAACTGAAAAATTATTTTTTTAAAAAAATAAATATTTATAAATAAAAAATTATTAAAATTGACTATTTTATGGAAATTTGTTCTTTCTTTTCAAATATTATGTCCAATATGGTTAGGAAATATATTTAAAGCAAACTAAAATATAATTAAGAATCACTATATGTTGTAAAAAAGTTTTTTAAAAAAACCAAAGAATTCTATAAATGTCTGTGATCGTGCGGTCAGTGACAGTGGCAAATGTGTCCATGACCGTGATCGTGAATGGTCAGATATACTGTCCGGTTGGTTACCAGACGTTGACTCCTTTCCTTTCAGGTAACACTTTTACGAATACATCATCAGTATTCTTGGGACCTCGATAGAAAACACTTGTAGACATAATTTTTTAGCATAAGACGAACAAATTGTAACAAATGTTACAAAAATATTTTAAATAAATAAACAATTTTTTTTAAACACATTCAGTTTTTTATAAACATTCAATTTTATATTTAATTATGCATTCAATAAAAATTTGCAAATTTCTCATTTTTGTAATTTTTTTTGTGCTAACTGAATCAACGGAGGATATTAATGTAAGTGATAATCATTATTATAGGAATTGATATACAAAAAATATTTTATTATTCCTAATTACTAATTTATATTAATTTTATAATAAATTATTATTTTCGTTATTTTTATTTATAAGAAACTAAAATCTTATAGGGCACCGAAAGAACTATAATAAAGACATTTATGGGAGCTTTTGGTAATAAGCCACCCTCTACAAAATCACCCCCAACATCTTGTCATTGTAGTAAGTATAGAAACAAATTTGTTATTTCATTGAATGACAAACACATAATTGCAATGTATGTTTTGCAATAAAAAAAGATAACCATTTTTTGAAAATAAATGGTTAATATAACGATAAAAATGTAATTGCTTTAATTATCGAATTTTTTTTTTATTAGGTTGTGGAGTAAGAAATGACGAAACACGAATCGTAGGGGGTCAAACAACTCAATTAAATGAGTTCCCTTGGATGGCAAGACTTTCATATCTTAATAAATTTTACTGTGGAGGAACTCTCATTAGTGATCGTTATGTTTTAACAGCGGCCCATTGTATCAAGGGGTAAGAACCAAAAATATTACTCTAATTAGCCAAATTAATAATTAAAAATTTTGTTTATTTAAATAACAAAATTTTAAATATAACTAAAAAAATGTTTTTTTATCATCGAAATAATAAAAATATTTTCATCTATTGTCAATAATACTTTGTTTAAAAAAAAAAGTCACGATATAGAGAAAGTTTCGTAATATTCAGAAAAAAAGTTTTATTGAATCAAAAAAAGTTTCTATTAATGAAGCAATTATTTGTTCCCTGTGACAAAGTGTTATTAAAACAAAGAAATGAATATTGTTTAAAAATAAAATTTTTCTAATCAAAGAAAACATTTTTTTTTTTTTTTGATAAAGGTTACAATTAATAATTAATTGTTGAGGTTTAAATTATTTTCTTTTTTGCAATAATTATCTGAATATAAAATAAATTTTTAACTGTAAAAATGAAGATTTACACGGATGCTATAAATAAAAAAAAAAAAATCGTGCCTGAGTTATTAGTAGATAGGATATCTATATATATATATATAAAAAAATTTTCGCAACATTTCTTTCATGTAATTATATGATAATAACCCTCCGACAGACAAACATGATGAAGTTGTTTAAATTACTATTTATTTTGCACCGCAAAATTCAATTCAAACTGTAATTTTATTCACACACAGATACATACAACTTGAAACAATTTTTTAAAAAAATAATAATAATAATTAAACAACAATTATTAACTGTTTAATTAATCTTTTTTCTTTTGCTTTCTCAAAAAAAAGCATTAAATAGTGATGAAGATATCAATAAAAAGAGATAAAATTTAAAGAAAACGAAACTAAAAGAAAAAGAATATAAAGAAAAAGAAAAATGTCTCTGAAATATGTCAATAACACAGTAAGAAGACGATTTTATATTAAATTTATCTGAGAAATTTTATTTTACAGAATTCAATGAAAGTTTTGTTCCATAAATCCGTTTAGTTTGAAATTCAATTTTATCACTTGAAAAATATTTTCAGAATAATTAATTGTTATTGTCCTATTTTAATAATTAATAATAATAATAATAATAATAAAATATTTGATAAAATTATTAGAAAATAGAATCAATAGAAAATATCTAAAGTATACTTTTTACAGATTTTAATAATGCAAGCAGAGAGATCGATTTTTCTAGTTTTATTTTCAGATTCATGTGGTTCATGATCAAGGTTACATTTGGAGAACACGACAGGTGTTTCGATAAAGTTCAACCGGAAACTAGATATGTTGTGAGAACATTGAGTGGTGATTTCAGTTTTCTGAATTTCGACAACGACATTGCTCTACTTAGACTCAATGACAGAGTACCACTTTCCGAAACAATTCGACCAATTTGTTTACCAATTAAAAAAGGTATGGAAAATAAATATTTTTTTTTATAAATTATATTAATAAAATTTAAATAATTTAAATTTCCAATTATTTACACTCGAAAAACATTTTTTAGAAAAAATTAATTATTAAATTAAATTTTATTGAAAATTGGAAAGTGTTCAACTTATAATTCAATATGAAAAACTCATAAATTATTTTGTTGTATAAAAAATATTATACGGGTACAAAATAAAGAAAATAATATTTATATTAATTTTTTGCATAATTAATATTAAAATGAATATCAATGTTAGTACACCAATTAATTAGTTAATTAACTAATTAGTTTATTAGTGTCATTAATTAGTTATTTAATTAATTATTTGTAAGCTTTCTTTCCCGGGTGCAATAATTAATAATTAAATAATTTAATTAATTATTTAATTTAATACTATGGATTATTTTAATAAAATTAATTTAATTAAATTAAATTCTAATTAATATTCACTACCTATTGTTATACTAAACATATATATATATATATTATCTCGTAGTGTATGTATTATGATGTAAAAGTTTATACGGGCTTTTGTAACAACAGATAATGACTACATTGGTACCAAAGCAACGGCTTCCGGATGGGGAACCCTACACGAGGAAGGAAAACCTTCTTGTTTATTGCAAAAAGTTGATATTCCTGTAATGAGCCTTCAAGATTGCCGAAACACGAGTTACAGTCCCCGTATGATATCCGATAATATGCTCTGTGCAGGCTACTCAGAAGGTCTCAAGGACTCTTGTCAGGTATATTACAAAAAAAAAATTATACAATTTTTATTAATTATGCGTTATAATTTTTAAAAAAAAATAACTAATTTGTAAAAATAATTATAAAAATTATTGATTAGTAGTGCAATATTTTTACTAAATCATTTTTTAGGGTGATAGTGGAGGACCTCTGATTGCTGAGAGGGAAGATAAAAAATATGAAATAATTGGAGTCGTTTCCTGGGGAAATGGATGCGCTCGACCTGGTTACCCAGGAGTTTACACCAGAGTTACGAGGTATCTCGACTGGATTCTGGATAATACAAAGGAAAGCTGCTTTTGTGAGACATAGTATTGTTTTTCTATTTAAAATAGCCACTGCGAATTTTTTTCTAAAAAAAAAAAAGTGAAAAAAAATATGTTTAATATATAAATGTGATGCTTTCGGGGCAACTATTTTAAAATGTTAATAAGAATTTAAAAGTCTTGACTGAATGAAAAAATTATGCAAATCACTTAAGCTACAAAAAAAGGAATTGTAATATTTGTTTATATTATTATTATTATTATTTATAAAAATCAAAACGAATGATTATATTTATATTTAATAAACAATAAAGAGTTTTAATAAAAAAATTTTAAATTTTATTATAAAAAAAATTATATATATAATGATTTTTATAATGATTTTTTTTTTTTTTAAAATTGACAATTATAGAATTTATATATTTATAAGAACAAGTTAATTGAGAAAAAAAAATAGGAAAGGCAATTTTACGAGAGTTGTCTATAACGGTCCGCAATGGATGCAAAATGAAATCGCAAAATATAAATGATGTCATGTTATATTATAAATATGATATAAGTGTAATTTTGTCTCATAACGAAAGCGGAACCGCGAGTATATGTGTGCAAGATTTCATCAAAGTTTTTTTTTTTATGCGGGCTAAACAAACTTTTTCTACGGCGCCAGTATTCATCAAGCAGTCAAGAGAAAAGTCATGACACTACAAGACATTGTTAAATTTCTTCTTTGTATCATTTTAATTAATCGATTTGAGACTTATGCTAAACAACATTTTCACAATGACACAGTAAGTTTATGTTTAAAAAAAAAAAAATTACTATTTTTATTAATTATAAATATTTTTTTTAATATATATATATATAAATATTTGTATATATTATTAATCTAAAATTAATAATAATTAAATCGTTATTAATTAAAAATAACATATTTTTTTAATTTTAAAGAACATTAAAATAGATTCACGTGCATTTCTTGATTTTATACTTGGAAGAGCCAATTTCTGCGGCGTTTGTTGTAAGTAATTAAAAACTTCTCTATTCAAATCAAAGGAAAACAATTAAAATTTTTTTGCAATTAATTTTCAGTATGTGGACGCTCCAATAAATATGGTGCTCGATTTTTGGGTGGAGAATATACAGAATCACACGAATTTCCATGGCTCGCGAATATTTTAATTAAATCAAATATTCTCATTAGTGGGGTTTTGATTAATAATCAGTACGTTTTAACTGCAGCGAGTCCGCTTGTTAAGTACGTTGAAAACAATATTTCCAAAACAATTGAAAATATATTTCATTGATATTGAAATTAATCCAATCTCTTTTCTAATAATTAATCTCTTTTCTAAATTTTCTTTTTATACCAAAAACAAAAGTTCAACGCCACAGGAAGTAAAAGTATCTTTAGGAGAATATGATAGATGCAATTTGGATATTTCATCAATAAACATAAGTGTGGAACACATATACATACATCCGGAATTTAATATTGAATCAAAAGCTCATGATTTAGCTTTAATTCGTTTTAGTCGTCCGATTAAATTTGAAAAAAGAATTTCACCTATTTGTTTGCCAAATGCAGGTTTGTTTTTCTTATTAAATTTAGTTTCAATTTATATTTATTTAAAAAAAAAACGTAAATAAATTTAAAATTATATTTTATATTGCAGTTTTCTTTTTATAAAATATATCAAATATTTTTCTAGGATTCACATATATAGATCAGGTTGGAACAGTGAGTGGATGGACCGTAAGTACAACATCCGCGGAAATTAATAATCGAACATGTAGACCAAGAAAAATGGGTCTTCCAATAATGGGCAAAAATGAATGTATAAAATCTGGAGTCAATGCTATTAATTATCATGATGATAGCGGATGTATTGGAATCGTTGGAGGAAATTCAATTATTTGTAATGTAAGGATTTAATACTAAAATACTAAAAATTCCAGAAAAAATCTTCATAAAAATTATATTTAAAAAAAAAAATTTCTTTTCTAGAACGATGCAGGTATTTCCGTGCTTCATAGATCATATTTCCAGGTTCACGACATTATTGGTGAGTTTTTTTTTTTTTAAATACAAAATACAGTCAAACCTGTGTAACATTCTCGTCTCACTCAACCAGGTTTCACTGTACATAAATATTAATTTAATGTATATATAAATGTTATATAAAACTATTTTTATATACGAACTTTCACAACAATGTTAATTATTTTACAAACTAAATTATATCAATATTTAAAAATATTATCAACAGGTATTTTTTCTGATGTTAATGAATGCAATGGTGAACCGCGAGCTGCAGTTTACACAAGAATTGGCCCGCATCTCGATTGGATTTTACAACAAACAAAAGATGCATGTTATTGTTTAAAATAAGATAAAATGAATTTAATTATATTTTTAATTAATTCCCTATAATGAATATAAATATATAATCAATTTTTTTATAAAATGCAATAAACACATAAAATTTATAGAATAAAAAAAAATTAATAATTGTAATAATCTGTTACAAAAAAAAAAGGAGTGGAAAATTCTATTGATTTTTTTTTATTATAAAATTGAAATTAGAAACTGATCGACATTAAATCTTCGAAAAGTAACTGTGAAGACATCGTATATATTGAATTTATTCGCATCATAAACAACTCAACGTCAGATGCTGTTGCTTATATATAGATGGCAAAGTAGTTTAGATCGAACATTTGCGGTAACTCTTTTCTCAATTCACGACGAGACAGTTTTAATACAGTGAATTTTATCCCGAGAATTTAAAAATTGAAATAAGATGAACAAAATTTGTGCACAATAAATGAGAAATCAATACTGTATAATTATAAGTGTAGAATAAATAAAAAATGATAAAAATAATAATTTAAAATTATTTTCTACAATTCTTTATTTAACAATAATTGAATTTTATATTTTAAGACCCAAAAGTTTATTTATAGATTAAGAAGCTTTTTTGTTAATCAAAACAGGAGGGTTAATTCACGATCGTTATATTTTAACTGCACGTCATTGAGTGAAAGGGTATGTATAGTCATAAATCTCACTAATTGAATAATCTTCATTATATCCCTTTATAATGATATTGCTTTCCAATAGAGGAGGATATGCATTAGTGATCTTGATGAACTTTCATATAATGTAATTATGCTTGTATATACGATATTTTATCAAACTTGTAAAAGCTTAAAATATTTTCAAAAAATTAAATTTAAACTGGTAAATAAATGGTTAAAAGCCAAATAGAAAAATTGGTAAAAATAATCAATCAAGTAAATTATTTATTTTATTGAATAATAATAAGAATATGATTACAATGGTGTTTTTAAATTTAAATAAAAAAAAAATAATACATTGTGCCACTAAACTTCTATAAACTACAAAAAGCCATAATTCATATTTTCTAGTTGTCATTTTCACGTTTTACGATAGTAAAATCTTACAAACGTATAACGAAATACCATTGGCACGTTTTTTCTTTAGTAATCAGAAACTATTATATATTATTGTAAAAAGAATCATTTTGTCGACTAGAAAATAAGCATTTTTAGCCTATTAGAATGTATAATTATAATTAACACGTTAAGTTTGCGCAAATTTACAAGTGTGAACTTAGTTCTATTTCGACGCAATGCAGCCTATATATGTAACACATGAGAGTTACATCGTTTAAGTATAGTTATAATTAATATATAGTTAAGTTTTATATAATTATACGATTTTTCTTCAATTAACATAGAGCGGCACAAAAAAATAGTTTAGATTCCATTGGACATCGTATTTTAAAAATTATAATTTATGGTTACAACACTGTACAATCTTAATTTAACATATTTTGCAATTATTAATGTGTCTCATTATTAAATTCAATATATAATGTATGTACACGGTCATTAAATTTTATTGTACTTTTTTTAATTAGATTTTAGTTGTCGTAAGTATGATTCTTCTTAAAAATAAAGAAACTTTTAATTTTGTAAAAAATATATTTAACTTATATTTATAATTTTAAATTATACTTTTATTTAAAAAGGTAAAAAATATATAAATAATTCATCAGGAAAAGTGCATTTTCTATAATCTAGTTTATAGAAAAGTAATAAAACAAAAATATATAATATTTAAAACACTGATAATGAGAAAAAAAATTTCGCTTATTATGATTAGCACAACTTTTAATTGTGTAATTTTTTTTATGTTAATATTATATTTTTAAGTCGGACGGTATTTTTATCTTTTTTTTTTATATAAATTTACATTCTGAATATTGTACAAAAATTTTTTTTTTTATATGAAAGGCAAATATTAATTTTTAATTCATTTTAAAGCCTTTATTAAATCCGAAAAGAAACTTTTTTTTATTTATATTAATTTAATATAATTGAAAAAAACTGGATAATGTTCAGAAAATCTTTTTGTTTTATAAAACCTGATATGTTTTTTTTTTTTTTAGTTAATAATGTCCATATTATTAATTTAACACTTTATCCAAAGGAAAACTTAACTTGTAATTTATTAAATAATAATTATGAAAATTAATTTTAATTCTGTTAATTATTGTCAAATTTTTTTTAAATTAAAAAAATATTTTATTTTTCAACATTTTTTATAAATTAGCTTTTATCTTTTCTTAATTAAACATAACTTGCCTTTCGTGGTGTTTTATCCATTTATATATATTTTAGTTAGCACATTATATGAAAGCATTACTATAGTTTAAACTTCTTATATTTATATGTGTTTGAAATTTTATTGCTTTTGATCTTTAGTACACTAAAGTTGGTAGAAAAACGATGTATTACAGATTAAATCAAAAGTAATAAAATTTCTTTAATAGTCATGTGTTTAGTAGAAAACTATCACTCATAAATGATAAATCAGGACTTTCAGTCGTACTATCACAAAACGATTATTTACAAACTGAAATCGTATTGAAAAATAGATTTCCTTAAAATTCGATCAAAACCTTTTAACTTTCATCAATTAAAATTTTTCTTTTTCAATATATAACATTCGTGGCATTCGAGTTACACTGAGACGTTACAGCTTCCTCTAGATTGCAATCTAATTTTCTGTAATTTGCTGTACTTGGTCGACGTCTACCACGTCCATTTCGTGATCTTCTTCCTTCCAATAAAATCGCCAAAATCTAAAAAAGAAAAAAAAGTACGAATTATTTCTCAAGACGAAAATCTTTTCACTTTGAAAATTTAAAATTTTCCATCATGAAAAATTATTTTTCACTTACCTTTTTTTTGTTGAGATAACCAATATAACAACATACAAAGAGCAATGAAAATGCTACAAAATAGGAAAAAAGGTGAGACTCTTCATTTGCTTTCTTTCCACGATAGTTTGAAATTACTTTATTCTCATTAATTAAATCTGGTACTTGATTTTGGGAACCTGCATCTAGAAAAAGAAAAATGTTTAATTAATGGACTCAATTGTAGAACAAAATTTTTGTTTGCAAAATTATAACATGAATATTCAGTGAAATGGAAAATGAATATTTACTTAAAATATCATCATGTTGATCATCTTTCTCTGAAAAATCAAAGAAAATTTTTTTATTAATAAAATTCGTTTATTGTATGAGATTTAGAAAAATAAAAATTACACTTACTATAAGGCGGAGCTTCGACATCATCAGAAAAAGCAGCATCGTCGGTGTGTTCTGAAATAGTGCTGGAATTAATCTCATCATTATTTGAAACTGTTTTTCCCTTTTTTCCTGATTCTGTTTTATCAGTTTTAGTCCCATCGGTTTCAGACTTGTGATTTTCATTTGGAATCTCTGCATCTGGTTTATTTCCTGTACTTTCAGGATTCTCCTGAACATTTTGCATCGGAATTTTCTTTGAATCAGGATTGTCTTTGAGATTAGGAAGTTTATCATCTTTTTTATTTTGTTCATTTTTCGTGTCAGTTTCTAATGGTTCTTTTTGCCCGGGAACTTCTTCTTCTTCTTTTTTTGACGATTTTTCCTTTTGTTGCTTGGGATTTTGAGATTTATTTTCATCTTTTGTAGCTACATTATTTACAGATTTAGATGTGTCTTTCAAGGTTGATTCTTTTATTTCACTAACACTTGACACTTGTTTTTTATCTTTCCCCTCCTTTTCAACAATTTTCTCTACCTTGGCATCGGGTTTGTTTAATTCTTCAGGTTTTGTTTCTACATTTACTGATTTAAATTTAGCACTTTTTTCATCAGATAAATTCATTTCTGCCTCGAGTGAAGTTAATGCGGAACATAATTTCAATGGTTCTTTATTTTTCATTGCAAAATTTAAACAATTTTGTGCACATGTGACTGAATCATTGTAAAATAATTGTAGTTTCATTTTACTTTTTTCATCAGTAATCTTTTTTGGTACTCTACAAAAGTTGTTGACATAAGTCACATTATCATATTTGGATACAAATTTATCGAATTCTATTGCATTTGTAAACTCAGGTAAACTTATGTGCTGTGAACTTTTTGTACACCATTTTAAACCTAAATCGTAGAGTGCTGTGCACAAAAGTGATTCAGATTCTTGGAAACATGATTTTGTATAGATAGAATCACGAAAAAATTCAACAGTCGGACATGGTACTTTAAATCCTTTTGACGTTTCTGTCAAATTAGTGGGAAGAGATGTAACATCAGAAAATATAAATAAATTTATGATCAGTGACAACAAGAAATACTGTAAGTTCTTCATATTGTTGCTTTTTTTTAAACTAAAATAGTTTATCGTGTACAAACTTTAATAATGTTAATTTATATACACATTACCACCACTAATAATAAAGTTTTTCAACTGCAAATCAAAAAATGATTTTCTTCATTCGCACGTAAAATGACATTTCCAATATTGGGAAAATAAGTCTTTTTTTAAATTAAATATTTAACACTGTATCACGTTTATAATTATTTATTTCTTTTAGGTTAAATTGACCTTCAACAAGTTCAACAACTTTCCGGCATCTTTTACGGAAAACCCGAAAACTTGATGACAACATGTCATGCAAACTGGTAACTGTCAGTCATGTAGGGATCTACATGATCTAGTCACCGGCGGGAGAATTTAAAAGATCAAAATTTATTTTAATTTTTTTTTTATAATTAAATTGATAAATAATTTTTTAGATTTTAAATATATATTTTTCGCTTTATTAAAAAAAAAAGTTTAATATAATAGTAATAAAAAATCATTTCTAATAGAAATGTACTAATTTAATAAACTTATTTTTTAATTAGTTATCCTTTTAATTAATAAGAAGTAAAAAAATACCAATTATATTTTAAAATTAAGTAAAAAATGGAGGGGAAATATATAAATATAAAATGTAGGAAAATTAATAGACATTATCACTTGTATAGATATGAACATACCGCAAACATTAAATCTGGTTGTAAGTGCAGTCAAAGCGCAAGTATATTATATCTTTTTGTGGTTTTCATTTTTCAACGATAAGATAAAAATAGAAATATATAGAAAACAATTTGTTAAAAGGAACATTATATAAATGAATGTTTGTAATGAAAATACTGAAAGGCAAAGTAAATTTTTCTTTTGTTTTCACAGATAATGAATCTACAGAAAAAAATGAGAATTTGTATAATTGGCGGAGGAGCTGCTGGATTGTGTGCTCTTCGAAATTTTGCGGAAAATTTGAATTATTTTGATTTAGTGGTTTTTGAAAAAACGGAAAAAATTGGAGGCACCTGGGTCTATAATGAAAAAACAGGATTAGATTCAAATGGTTTGCCAATTCACTCCAGTATGTATAGAGATCTCAGGTATTTATCAAAAAGAAAATATATTAAACATTAATCATAAATTAAAAGTCTATTTATATAGAATTTATAAAAATATAATTCATATAATTTTCTTGTAAATTTTGAAGAACCAATTTACCATGTGAGATAATGAATTTTCCTGATTATCGAAAAATGAAGGGGGACAAATCCAGTACAGTAACACATGAACAAATTTTGTCTTATTTGAAAAATTATTCTGAACATTTTCAACTTTGTCAATATATTCAGGTGAGAAAAAAATTTTTGGTCACAAATTATTTTTAAATTGATGAATTTAAATATTTCAGTTTAATACACTGGTGGAAAATGTGAAACCAGAAATTAAGGAAAATGATTCGAAAATAATAGTTTGGAAAGTGCAAATTAAAAATTTAAAAACAAAACAAATTTCTCATGAAGTATTTGATGGAATTATCGTCTGTACTGGGTAAATTTAAAATAGCATTCATTTTGAATCAAATTTGCCAATTGCTATTTTCAACAAAATTATATTGTTAAAATTTTCAGACAATATTTTCAACCAAATATACCAGAAATACCTGGAATAGAAACATTTCCTGGTACAATTTTACACAGTCATTCTTATAGAAAACCCGAAGATTTTACAAATAAATCAATAGTGATTCTTGGTGCATCATCATCTGGTATTGATATTGGTATAGAATTATGTGCACATGCTAATCAAGTCTATTTAAGTCATTATGGGGAAAGGTAGTGTTAAAATTTCATTTAAAATTTATTCTGTCAATTTATTCATTGGATTTTTTTTAAAACGTTTTCTTAATTATATTTTAGGATAGTCAGTATATTGCCTTCTCAATTAATTCAGGTTATGGAAATCAGTAGAATAGAAAAAAATAAAATATATTTTATCAATGGAAATTCTGTACAAGTTGACGCAATTATTTACTGTACCGGATATTTAATAACATTTCCCTTTTTGGACGAAAGTTGCGGAATTACCGTTGATAATAATTATGTTTATCCATTGTATAAACATATGATTAATATTAATTATCCAACAATGTGTTTTCTGGGTATGAACACTAAAGTCGTACCATTCCCAATGTTTCACATGAAGGTAACAATTATTATAATATAAACACGTCGGTGAGGTTTACAACGTTTATTATCAACGATTGAGAAGAAAAAATATTTTCCTATGCAAATTATTAATATTTTTGATTTAAAAAATTTGTTGCAACATTTCTTGATCAACAATTATTTGAAAAAAAATTTGTAGGCAAAAAATTAGTTACTATTTTTTGAGTGGAAAATATTTTTTTTTTGAATCGTTGATCATAAACGTTGTAAACTTCACCGACGTAACAGGGAAACATTAACTTTCAGACTCACTAAAAAAAATTTTTTTTTTGAAAACGAAAATAAATAAAAAAAATATTGTTAGGGAGTATGAGACTTAATGATCACCTTGTATACTATAATTAAAAGTTTAGGTATTTTAATGAGGTTTAGATAATTATTTCTTAAATGTTTCAATTACAAAATGTTTCTAATAAGAAATTTAAAACATATTTAATTTAATTTCAGGCAAAGTATTATTTAGCTTATCTTAAAGGAGAGTTAACTTTGCCGACAAAAGAAGAAATGATGGAGGATTCAAAATTGAAGACAGAGAAAAAAAATCATGCCCACTCACTCGCAACACAACAATGGTCATTTAATAATAGTTTAGCAGAAGCGGGTGGATTTAATCCCCTCCCACCATTCTATGAAATGGGTTATAAAGCATGGTGGAATTTAAGAAAAACAAATTTGTTTCATTACAAGGATTATAAATTAATTATTGCTGACGATGACAAAAGTGTAGAAGTAATTTTAGGATAAAATATAATACTAATTAATTAATGTAACTTATTGATAAAAATTAAAACAATAATTTAAATAGAAAATAAAAAGTTTCATTCTATTTTACTACTCTTCTTTTATTCAAAAATATCTCAGTTTGAAAAATACACGTCACTTATTTGTCACTTAATTTTTTTTTTTTAGTGCTATACGCAATAACGATCTTTTTTATCAGATAAAATACATCGTTCAATAAATGCACATTATATATACCCAAATTATATTTATCGGAGGAGTAGTTTTAAACTTCTTAAATCTATAGAAAATATAAAGGACGTACAAAACGCTATGATTAAAAATATAATGGCTTATAGCGAACAATTATTCGACAAAGAAAATTCTATAATAGAATCGAAGGAAGAGACTCAATACTGGCGTTTACATAATGCAAAGTCTTTGGTTCTATTATAATTTAAATGCGTCGTGTCTTAATTCTGTCATTTATAATGACAAATGTCATGTGTTATTATTCTTTTTCTATACGCACATTCATTGTAAATTCACAATAATGTAAAACTGCGCAACTGATTTTTTTTTAAAGTTAAATGTTACATAATGTCCTTCCTGATTATTAAATGCCACAAGTTTTTTGAAAAAATAATAGATATAATTAAAGTACAAACGATATTTAATTCGTTAATCACAATCGAATTCAATATAATAATCAATCATAATTATCAGAATGCAGAAGACGTGTAATTTAAAGATCATATCTGAAATTATAATTTAAAGATCACTAAACAAAAATTTAGGACTTATAATTTAAACTTAAAATAATAAATTTTATATATGATAAAATAAAAAAAAAATAACCTTAATTTACTGAGATCAATTTAATTTTTAATGACTGAAAAAATCTAAAGTACCAATTAAAAATGATGTATTTGTGAATACATATAAAATTGCATTTAAGAACCAAGAAAAGCATTAAATATCGCACAGTTGACATTTATTTATACACGTGGACACGTATGACGTAATTACGTGATATGATTAATCAATTGACAAAATATATTATGTCAATTGTTAATGTTCAGCCTTACGGGTTTGTACAATATTTCACTTTAAAGAAACGGATATCTCCTAAGTCAATAAATTATTAGAAACTAATTTCCAGATTGTAAACTTCATTATATACAAATTATTTATATCTTTTTATATTAGTTGCTGTGACTATTCTAATGAACTTTCTTTTTTTGCAAATATTTTAATAGCTTTTAGCTTAATTTGGAACATTTCTAGAAATTATACAAATAAAAATGCTATATCACCAACATGAAAAAAAAACAACTGAATTAAAATTATTAAAAACTGTAAAATTAAAATGACCGAAAATTACGATGCTGAAGTCTAACTTTTATAATCAACGATTAGAAAACAAATTATTTTTTAAAATAGAAAATTATAAAATGCTTTTTTATAATTTGTTGACTAATAAATATTGCAAAGAAATATCTTTGAGATGAAAATTCATACAATTTTTCATTCAAAAAAAATATTTCTTTTAAAAATCGTTGATTATAAACGTTGTAAACTTTAACATCATCCGAAAATATTAAAATTAAAAATTGCGTAACAAAGTTCATTACATCATGTTCTTATTTACATGATTAATCTCATTAAATTATCTTTTATGGTAACGATTACTGGCAGTCAGTTAGCATTATGTGACTCTTCTTTGCACATTCGTCTCGATCAACTGACGGACTATAATAATAATAGTAATAATAATAATAATAATATAAACAATAATTTTAAAAACGTAGAAAACTTATAGAATATGTCTACTTTATAAATTTATACCAAATTGGTTCACAAATCTTAAAAGATAAACTATATAATATATATACGCTAAATTATTTATAAGTACGCCTAGAGGAAAAGAAATTTCATTAAAAATTTACTAATCACGAGCAAGGAATAAAGATCCTAAATATTTAGGATCAACCACACACTTTAATCTTATAATCGTGTAACCGCGTATAGACTAGATTCTGTTGAAAAAAAACTGTCTCTTTTTTAATTGTTTAAAAAAGTGGCTACATCTGGAAATTCGTTGCGCACTAATTGTAAATGAAAAAAAGCAGAAACAAAACTTTCGCATTTTGTTTAGCAAAATTCTTACAAAATTCAACAAAATTAAATTTTCATTAGTATTAAAAAAATAAATTCAGTGGCGCATCAACTGCCGTTCATAGGGTTATTAAATCCCTAAAATTATAAATTAAATATTCTTTTTTATTATAAAATTATTTCTTTGATTTGATATAAAAAAATTTTCTTTAAAGCATATTTTATTTAATGAAATAAAATTATAATATTTATTTAATTAAAAAAAATTTCATTTGATTTAGAGAAAATTTCTTTATATTAGTGCTGCCATCGCGAATCTCTCTTTTCATAAAAGAAAAGAGAGAAAAACTATGCGTTGTTTTTTTTTTAGCAATATTTCAAGAAATTCGCATTGAAATATTTCAAATCTTTAAATGAAATATTCAAGAAATATTTAGGAAATATCATGTGCTTTATGGGAAAATATATTTTTTTTTCTGGGTATTAGTCTTTAAATTTTTTACTTAGTTGTTACGCCACTGTCTATAAGAATGCATTTCGTTAATTATTACCAAAAAAAAAAAAATCGCATAAGAATTTATTTCTATATCATACATTATGAATTAATAATATCTTTCAATTTGTTCTCTTCCCATAATGTTCAATATAGTACAATATTCATATACGCATCTTAAATTTTTATCTAATTAATGTTACATAATTAAAATTATAAAATAGACGATTTGCGTTATTACGTAAAAGAATAACGAAGAGCAAGCAGTAGAGCGATCTATTGTTTAGCTGCTCACAGCCAGTGGTGTAATCATTACATTATAATATTATTAATTTAAAGCGGGTATAAGGCATTTACCCAATATTCATTCATAAAGAATAAATTCTACAAATTTATACAAGATTCACCGGAGACTACTAACCCTTTAGTGCCCAATGAAAAAATTTTACACTCGAGAAAAATCTCTTTTGTTTTAATCAAATATTACACGCATAGAAAAAATTTTCTATGGCAGCAAACTTTTAGCTGCCACGATAAAATTTGTTTACAAAAAAAAACAGCGAATAAATTTGCTGTGGGAATAAAATTAGTATTTTTTTTTTATCTATCACAGCTAACTTTTTTAGAAATTCTAGCAAATATTTTAGTTGATGTAGCAAATTTTTATCACCTAACTTTTGTTCTGATTCTTTGTTCAACTGATCAGCATCTTAGCTTCAGTTATCGTCACATTTAGTAATTTAAAAATTTAAAGCAATATATTGAAATAATTTTTATTCCATATATTATTTACATAAAAATAATTCTTTATAATTGAAAAATATATTCAATTTTTTTTTTAAAGTACTTCTGGAATTTTTAACAAAATTTCCAGTAACTAAGACAGTGACGAGAACCGATGCATTCATTTTAATAATATCAAAAGAAAAACCTGATTATAATTAAATGATTCCATTTATAATTAATGGACTGTTTTGTTAATAATTATAAATATGACTTTTCTTCATTTATATTTTTTCCTTTTTTATTTACTTATCTATATTTTAATCTTTATCTAGATTTAATTTTATAAAAATAGTTTAATACTTCGGACATTCTGTTTCAAACCGTTTCACCAGCAAAAAAAATGCAATTAAAAATTAATTTTTAAAGTATAAAAAAATTATTGTCGAAATTGACCAAATTTATTATTTTTAAATGATTCAAGTATTTAAAAATGTAAACTTTATGGATTATTGTAATTAATCATTTATTTCACTTAGATTAGTTTACATTTTTAAATATGGAAGAATTTAAAAATAAAAAATTTTGTCAAACTGAACCAATAATTTTTTCTTATACTTTTAAGACTAATTTTATGTTCTTTTAAATATTTTCCATTTACTAAAAAAATTATTACAAAGTACCATAATTTTTAAAAATTAATCATCAGGGACTTTGTGCAAAATATAATGGATTAATCGTATTATTTTTTTTATTCCTCATTTCAATTTACCTAACCTTGGGCACTCAAGGGTTAATTACTTTCAAAACGATTCTTTTTAATAGAAAATTTAAAATAAAATGTTTTCTAAACTAAAAAAAAAAAAAAATTTCTTATTATACATGACAGAAATTAATAATCGTTTCGAAATCTTCAGCATCAGTCAAGATTTGGTTCACATCTTTTGGATACTTTGCCACAACTATCACATAATTTATTCTCACTCTAATATTCATTTTAATATTAGAAAATATTTACTCCTATAATGATACCTTAGATGTAACGAAATCTTTATTAAATTTTTAAGAGGCTAAAATGGACCTTTCAAAATACTCTTCTTTTTTTTTATAAACATCAACCACATAATTATGACTGGTTTTCTTTTAAATATAATCACGAATAAAAACTCTGATTCACTTTAGTTTTTTTATCTTTGCAAAAAGATTTACAAAGTTTTAAATATGGAGGAATTTTTTTTTATAGATTCAGGACAAATAACCTTTAAAAAAAGAGAATTTTCCTAAAACTAAGATGGCATTAAATACCTGGTGTTTTGTGGTAAAATTTCATTCATGTTGACGGCTTGCTGTTGAAAAATACTTGCTTCTTTAAGTGCCGAAAAATTTTGAATATGTTGAAGTAAAGTATTTTCCTGTTTAATAAAAGTACCATCCTTCAAAATAAAATTCACATCTTGTTTAGGAATGGCATTGGACATGTCGGCAATCTTATCAAGAGAATCTCTATCAGTGAATAACAATTCTTTTGTCTTCGCTTTAGTTCTCTTAATACCCAAATGTGTTTGCGCGTGTTTATTTAAATGATCCTTTCTTGAAAAAGCCTTGTGACACACATTGCAGGTGAAATTTTTATCTCCTGAATGAATAACAAAATGCCTCGTTAAATGTTCATTTCGTTTAAATGCTTTTTGACAAACTGGACATTTAAATGGCCTTTCATCCGAATGACCACGCATATGCTGATCCAAATGTTCTTTTCTTTTAAGCATTGCCCCACATTCTTTGCATTGATATTTTCTCTCCTAAAAGATAAAGTTTACAAAATTAATTAATTGCTACACAAATTAATATGTCATAAATATTAACTTACTTGTATGTGGCCTTGAATGTGTTGTTCAATTTCACTTTTATCGGCAAATGCGAGATTACATTCTGGACAACAGTAAAGTGTTGAACCGTCTATAGCCATTGTGATTTTGATCTCGCCAGTTTTCGCTCTAAATTTCATCTTTTTTTCAGGCTTCGGTGATTCTGTTTGTATTTGTTGATCAACAATGACCGTTTGTGAACTATTGTCACTTTCTGAATGACCCTCGATGTGAACATTTAAATCACTAGGATTTATTGCTATCATCATATGATCGGGAGTCATAAAATGACTTCCATTCTGTAAATGAGAATTTCGAAAACCAGCAACACTGGGAATATTAAGAATGCTGCTTTGTGTTTGTTCAATTTTCTGCTCATCTTCTTTCTCCTTTTTCACCTGTTCTGCTTGCATTTTAATTAATTGTTGTAATGTTGCAAGTGGTAATGTTGTTGCTTGCAATTTTTGAAGATACTCCGTCATTGTTACTGTTTGTTGTTGAAGTTGTATTTGAGAGTTTGCCTGAATAAAAAAAATTAATTTTCAATTTTTTAAAATACAATAAAAATATATAATTAATCATATAAAAATTTTTTTTTTACCGAATTTGAGTTTCCAGGCTCATTATCAGTTTTTATTTCTGTTATATTTGGAATTATTCTTAGTGGGAGGCTGTTTGATTGAAGGCTTAAAATTGAAGCATTATTACTGACTGCTTGAGAATAGTTAGGGATATTGATGGATTGAATGCCTTGTTTTTCGCAAAGTTGAATTAATGTATTTGAATCGGGCCAAGTTAAAATTGATCCAGGGTATTTGTTTGAAGAATTTACCTTTTAGAACAATTTTAAATTAAATTATGACAATCAAACAATTAATCGTAAGTAACAATATTCATATGAAATTAATAACCGATAATAAAACTATTTAATTTCTTTCAAAAAATCTGATTTAAAATTTAAAATACTTACTAGTAATTGTTGATGTTTAGATTGATTTGATGCAGTTGCAGTTGTGTAAATAGCATTTGCAGCTGCTTGCAAATCAGCGTTACTCGAAATATATGCACCTGAATTAGATCGAGATGTTATTTCCGAAAATTGTGGTAACGAAACCTGAATATTAGTTTCGTCGGTAAAGTTCATTTTTGTTAGATAAACTGTTTTCTTCACTAAATTAGATGTTTGTCATTTGCACTTTAAACAAAAGATACGCCAATCTTTATAACCTCAAACTGCAATCATTCACAGAAAGACCTTCACTTAAAACCATTGACGTTTCTTATTGTAATCAAAATAACAGTCAACATTTTCAATAATGTTGATTTATCATCACGTACAAAGTAAATTACTGTACGCGATCAACTGTACTTATAATTAAATTAAATAACCGATTAATCAACACCGCATAGCGCTTTAGAAAAAAAGGTACGCCGCGTTTGAGCGTCTTTTCAATGACCGTATCTAAACACAAATGCGCTTGTGCCACAAACTCATTGGCAAAAAAAAGCGCGCTTATATGTGAAATGCTTTATTATGAAAAAATAATAAGAAAGCAATATAAAAACATTATCCATTTTCACTGTTGAATTGATTATGCAATAATAAAATAAAATACAATAATAATAAATAATAAACATATAAATAATACATACATATAGCATTTCATATATGCGCGCTTTTTCAAGATGGCCGCAACTAGAAATGCCAACATAATAAAGTAAAAGCCGGACAATTACTCCAAAAATACTTTTTTTTCTCAAAATTTATATAAATAATTTTTATAAAAATAAAGGATATATTTGTTAAGCTCATAAACCTTATAAAATTACCAAATATATAATTGTTTTTGGCAAGATTTAAGAATAAAAATTTTAAACTTAAATTAATTGACGTAAAGTTTGTTGTGTTTACTGTCATTATGTTGATTTGTTTACTTATTTGACAGAACGACGCTCATCAAAGTCAAACCACATAATTTAATTACATAATAACTATTTCATCAATTTAGAATTTTATGGTTAATTGGATTTTTTACACTTAAATAATGTAAGTCTTTTCTTAAAATGTAATACTAAAAATATATATTATTAATGTTATTAAATTAATAATTAGTAAAATGTATAGGTTATGTTATAAAATTATTTAAAAATTACTAATATTAAAATGTTGCTTTAGAAAATACAAACATTAATGTTTAACATATGTAAGTTTTAGCATTAAAAAATGCCATTAAATTTATATTTTTAGAGAATAATTTTTTGTTAATTTGTTTTGAAAAAAGTCTCAAGGGGATCGTTTAATTATTAAACAACAATATTTCTTTGTTTTTGTGTTTTCAATTTCAATCGATTTCTTTTTTTAAATTAAAGAAAGTAGTAAATGGCAATGAATTTAATCAACATAAATAATTTAATTTATTTCATAAAAGGAGTATAAGTAAGGGTCACAACTCTTCTCTCGAAATTCATGTTGCTAAATTACAAAAGAGAAGTCGCACTTTATTGGCTCAATTAGAAGAAAACTCTAGGAAAGTTGATCGAGAGTTCAAAAAATTGTGTTTTGAAACATTGTAAGTTAATTAGCAACCATGAGACTGAAAAACAATTTGAAAAAAAATCGGGAGCCCTTGAGAACTGTTTTTTTTTTTTTGGATTAATGTATTTTAAATAGTATTAAATTTGTGCAATTCTTCCTCCTTCTCTATTTTTGATTAATAAAATTTACATAATCATTAAAATGTCCTCATTTCAGACCAATAAAGAAAACTTGGAGCCAACAACCACAACAAGCTACAAGAATTTCCGAATTTTGGCAATTGAGAAACGATTCAAGTGGCGTTGGTGGTGCTTTGTGTGAGGATTATTATTCCCGAAATTCTCCTTGTGTTTCATCCTCTCTACCAAATATGACAATGCAAAGAAGACTTTTACTGTCATCTAAAAAAAGAGAGGAGGTACAATTTCGTAAATCAGTTACCGAATGTTACTGTAATCGTCAAACTCGTAAAATGCAATTAAGATCGAATAGAACCAAAATTAAGCCAACAACATGTAAGCACTGCAAAAGTCTTATTGATTTAAGACCAATGGCATGGGTTGAAAGTAACGATATTCAACCAACAGAACTATCAACTCCCATTAGTTGCGAGACAGTACGTAGAGTTTCTAAAATAAACTACTCTCCGCAATCTGAATTTCTTCAAAAAAAAATTTCATCCACACAAAATTTTTTTGATAAAAAATTACAACCATCTTCAAAATATGATTCTCATCTATTGTCAGCAGCTGGTGACACAGCTCAAAATTGTCCAAAGACAATTCACTCGATATGTAGAAATATTCAACCAGAAATTATAAATGAAATAAATAACGAATCCAATTTTCACGATTCAATAGAAATTTGTAAAAAATCAACTTGTCCAAAACAAAGTTGTTCATATACAAGTAAAGAATTTCAAATTAATTCTAAGAAACCATTAAGAGAAAAACTAGCGAAAAGAACAATATCATCAAAAAAAACTTTATCCACTTCAGAAAGTGTGCAATCGCAAAAAACAAAAAATAGTAATATCACTTCTAAAGGTCGTGCTCGATCCTCTCAATCAAGTAATAAGAGTCAGTATCATGAAAAATGTTACAATGACGCCAACTTTAGAGAATGTAATGTAATTCCTAAATATTCAAAACATACAAAGGATTTTCTAGGTAAAACTAATCAAGATAAAATAATAGATGATCCAATGGAAAATCCATTAACAAATTTATATAAATTTCGCGAACAAAATTATTTTGATACTCATGGTTCAACGCATACACTTTTATCATCAGGATCATCGGGTTCCTTAGAAAAATATATATTGAATGAAAGATTATTTCCACAACCGGTTGGTAAAGTTCATCGAGGGGATCTTGTAGTCACTATGCCATCGTGCATAACAAATGAAAATAAAATGATACACTATTTTCCTCGTTATATTGTCAGACAAGAAAAAAACCAGGCAACTAAGACCAAAAAGAAGCACACTTGTCCTTTAACTGGTCATCTTATTGATGTGAAAAATTTAAAAGTTCAAAATCCCTCAAATAGTTTGGCATTAAGATTCCAAAAAGGAGTATCTTGAATGAATTTATTCATCTTTGTGTACTATCCATTAAAGTAAATTGTTATCTAACAGTAGTAAATGAAAGTAATTTACATAATTTTCTGGCAATTTGAAGAAATATATATATACATATAATGAATATGTAGTAGTTGTAAATGTATAGTTATGTATGATAAATAATTTTTTAATTTTATTTAATTTTTATAAATGACCTTAGCAAAAGAAAAAATTTCACAAAATTAGATAAATAGAATAGGATAAGAGAGGCTCCTTTTAAAAGATTTTAAAATTGTTAAAAAATAGTTCAATATTCCTTCTAATAAAGAATTCTAGTCAAATAATAAATTATTAAAGGGCAAATTCATCGTAATTCATAAAAAGTCCTTATCGACTAATTTTTAAAAATTTTACAGGAACGATTTTATATATATTTTCAGGATGCAAAATTAAAATAATTTTATTTAAATTTTTATTAATTCTTGTAAAATATGAAATTAGTAGAGAAGATCCAAAAATTTACGTTTTCTTTAGTAAATAGAAAATATAAAAAAAAACTAAATTGAATTAGCTGTAAAAGTATAAATAAAATTATTGGTATTTGTTCATAATGAATAAATTTATTATGAATAAATATTTCAAGAATTCAAAAATGTAAAGTAATAGATAAAATATTTCGCTATCAATTAAAAAAAAGTTATATTTTTAAATGAATTATTAAAAAACCACAATATATGAACCTTGAAAACATTTTGTCTATTACATATTTCACATTTTTAAATTCTTGAATAATTTAAAAATAATAATTTTTGTCATTTTTTGAGAAAAACAAAATTTTTTTTCTAATTTAAAAGCTTATTTTGTAAAATTTTATATACGCAATTATACATATTTATATATTGAGGAAAAATAAAGTCAAATATTTCTAATAATCAAAAAAAAGTCTACTTTTTTTACATAGCACATTTTTTTTACTTCTATAATATATAGAATAGAAAACTGTTTAGAAAATAAAAAAATTGTTCCATTTCCGAAAGATTGAAAAATAAATATTGAAAAAAAACTAACTGAACTCAATAATGTTCCAAAGATGTTTTCCTTGAAAAGTTGACTCAAACTTGAAAGGTCAATATTTCAGATGATGTTTTTAAATTAGCAACGTAGTGTAAAATACTAAAATTTGAAGATGCAGTCAAAACTTTTTATTGCTTATTTAAAATTGCAATAGATTGCCTGATTGTGTGTCAAATAGAATTTCTTTTTTTTTCCACATTACATTTATATGATATAAACATTTCTAATAGAATAAAATTTGTTTTTTTGTACATTCTTATTGTGTCACAAAAAGAGGGATAGCAACATGAATAAAGGTTATTTACACGTCTATTTGTCATGAATGGAAAATCTCCTTCAGGCAATGTTTTTTTTTCTAAAGCACAATTAAATTATATATTCTTTCGACATTCGGAATTTAAAAATATATATTTTTCTAAAGGTGTAAATTTTTTTCCAAATTTCACATCATCAACAAGTGTTGACATTTGTGACTGCTAAGAAATGAGTTGAAATGAGTTTTAAATTATCATAAAATAACTATACTTTATCATTCAACTTATAATACGTCAAAAGATTTTAATTTAATGTTAAATCATTCAAAACATAAAAGTATTAATCGATATTAACGGTTTTACTACTGGATATTATTAAATGCATTTGTTAGATTATTAAAATATGCTCAGATATTTTTAAACAATTATTTAAGTTTCACTAACTTGTAACTAACATAAATTATTATTATTTTTTTTTTTGATATCAAAGAACAAAGTTCTCAGGAATCAAGAAATTTATTAAACTTGAATTTATGTGTTGTTTTTTTTTTTGCTCTAATTTTTCTTGTTTTCTGCATACATACTAAGCGCTTTTATTGCCGGATATTGAGAACATAAGATTTCTTGATCAATTAAGTAGTAATCAATGTTTTATATAGAAACTGGATTTTAAATGATCTTTACTCCTTTGAAATATTTAAAATAATTAACATAAAAATTGCTTTATCTTATAATAATTCTGTAAAAGTTTTATTGCTTTACTATATAGTTTTTTTTTATAAATAAAGTAATTATTATTAACAAATAAATATAATTTTTTGTTTCCTTTTATGTATTTTGATTAGATTCTATACATACATATAAATACAGCTTTGATAAAGTATAATAAGGTTTTATAAACATAATTAAAAATCCTCTCGACTTTTTTTTTCAAGATTCTAGGTTTTTCCAACCTTGAACTATGCGCTTATATTCAAGCGTACTTATATGAAAATTTCTTATTTATTTGAATTTAGAGTTTATTAAAATTCTGGGACAAGAGTCTTCTGAAAAAAACTGACGAGACTTGATATGGAAAGCAAGTCAACTAAACAAACATAAAAACATAATAAATTTTTTCGTTGTTCATTTTTTTGTGTATATATTAAACTTTATGAAAGCTAAAATACGTGAAGGAACTTTAAATTTATAAAAAATGAAATGAATTACGATTATTTGAAATATTTTACTACTATATAGTTAACAAAACCGTTGTAAAATAAATTTAATTTTTATTTATTTCAAATTTTTAAATTAAATAATTTATATATGCTTTCGTTACGCGTAATTAGTAAATAATTTGTAATAATTGATGACAAGTGTCATTGAGTCATAAAATATATAGAAAAGCACCGATGGCTCATAGCAGTTTAATAAATCGTCCGTTATTAAAAGGAAAAATAAAAAATTAAATGCTTGCACATAACTAAAAAAAATATTCAAATCAAAAGCATTTCCGATAAAACGCAAAATCATTTTTATTTGTTTTATTTAAAACTTGATTTTCAAAATGTATTGAAGTTAATTTCACTATATAAAATACTTCATTATTTCACAATTTTGACCTTTGCTATAGAATAAAGCAATAACTCTTTTTATAATATTTTTTGCATTATTTGCGTATATAATGTGATAATTTATACACATTAATTCAAATCAGTCTTATAAAAAATAACAACAATAGAAACCCATTGAGTTTGCTCTTCAGGTTTTATTTCTAATTTAATAAAAAAAAACTTTTATAATAACAAAAAGATTGAAATCCCTATGACATCAGTGAAACTATTCTAAATAAGTAAATATTTATATTGTATACAATTTTAAAAATTTTTCTATCAAATTATTTTTAAAAATAAAATACCATGAAACATTTTTGTTTTGAATTATTTCCTCATGTTGAAATGATTTTTTAAAAAATGAAAAATGAAAATAGGAATATTAAATATTCGGGTTTAATAAGAATTTAGATAAAAGAAAAAAAATTTAACTGTCCAAAGGAATGAGAATTTTCCATAACATGAATCACATATGAGATGTAAATAAAAAGGAACCATTGCTTGATTTTTAATGAATTCGCATAGATATAGAAATATATGTTTTACCCTTAAGCGCATTTAAGAGGGGATATGCCTTCATATATATTATGGATAAGCGAGCAAAAGTATCAGTTGATTTTTAAACTTTGAATAACTTAGCGTATAACAAAAATTGTTAAATATTTACTAATATTATACATGATATGTAAGACTTTCTTTAAATATAATCAAATATGAATACATCTGTGGTCGGATTATTTTTAATCATTGTTGCATCGACAACAGCAGCAAATTTACGTAAGTAAATTTAAAATTTTTTTTCAAAATTTATAACAAAAAAAATTCTTTTACTTCCAAGTTTTTTTTGACAATTTTTTAACAATAATTTAATATTTTCTAAACAGTATACTTTCAAGTTTTCTCAAATTTATATTAATTTTTTTTATTTATAATTTTCTATAAGAGTGGATTTATATAAATTCACTTTTTTTTAAAAATGTATTGATAATTAAATTTAACGAGAATAATAGAAATATTTTAATTCTTTTTATTTAAAAAAAACAAACAAAAACATTACATACTCAAAAAAGAAATTGTAACTTTCAAAGTTAAATATTTTTTTTATCGTTTAGCTCAAACCTTCATTGTATGCAAAAAATCTGATCCAAATTGGAATGAATGCCTAGGAGACGCTGCAGTTGATGCAGTTCGGAAATTAGCAAAAGGTGAGATTAGAAAAATTTTTGAATTGTATTATAAAATTTAAATTTAAAAAAATTATTCTAGGTTTAAAAGAGTATAAGGTTTTACCACTGGATCCACTTAAAGTTAGTGGTATTTCAATCGGAGACGCAGGTGGATCTGTTTCAGTTAAACAAGATTATAAAAATGTTGAAGTTCACGGTCTAACTCGTGATTTAGAAAAACGAAGTTTCAAGTATGTATATCTACTTTAAAAAAAAGTATGTGATAATAAAATGAAATATATATTAGAATTAATATTCTAAATTTTAATATTTTAGATTTGACTGGGACAAACTTATACTTTCTATTGAAACTTATAATCCACAAGTTGATTTTGTAGGAAAGTACAAAGTTGATGGGAAAGTTTTATTATTACCAATAAGAGGTTCCGGTAATTCCAACATTACTATGTGTAAGTATAAAAAAAGTAAAATTTAAATTCACTTAATTTTGTAATTTTATGATATAAATATTAATTAGATTACTAACAAAATTAATTAAAAAATTATTGAAATTTCAGTGAATCTCATTACCAAATGTAATTTACAATTCGAAAAATACATGAAAAATGGAGATGAGTATGTAAAAATAAAAACTTTTAAAGTCAAGTTCATACCAGAAAAAGTTCATTTAATTTTTAAAAATCTTTTCGACGGAGATCCAGTTTTAGGTATAAACATTTATATTAAGCTTTCCAAATTTTTATATTAAATATAAAAATTATAATAATATTGGATATTAATTAAATTTTTTTTTCAGGTCCACCAATGGAAAAATTCCTTGATGAAAATTCAGATATACTATTTAAAGAACTTCAAGCACCATATGAAACTAGTTTTGGTTTAGTTTTCAAACAAATAGGAAATGAATTATTTAGTCGAATACCATTCAAAACTATATTTCCAGATTGAATGTTTTTAAAGCTGTAAAGCTGTTAATAATTAGTCAAAGATTTTTTTTTATATGTAAAATAATGCATACAACGAGAGTATAATGAACAAATCACGTGAGAAAATAAAATAATCATACATTTTACATGCATTCTGTTAATATTTATTTTAAAATTTCCTTTATTTTTCTAAACATTATCAATTATTATTTTTGGTATAATTATACGAAAAAAAATTGAGATAAATAAATAAATTATTACTTATTTCAAGTAAATATTTATTATTAATTAAAAATTAAGAAATTAAATTATTTAAATTAATTGTCTATAATTTATCAGTTCAATATAATATTATTATTGAGAAAAATAAAAATGTAGAAAAACATAAATTAATAAATATTGTTTATAATTATTAAATTTTTTAAAGTTGAAATAATTATTTAATTATTATTTTTAAAATACATTTTGTCAAAGAATAATTTTTTTTTAAAGATTTTTTATACAATGAAATTTAAAAAATGAAATTTGGCGCTCAATTTTTCGATTGGTGAACCTGATTTTGCCATTTTGTGTTAACTTCACGTTATAAAAATCATAACACGTCATTCTAAAGGCATTTTTGTTTGCAATTGTTTTGATCATTTTAATAGAGTTAATTGTTAATTGCTTTATTGGATTACATAAAAATATAAATTATTGTGTTATGCATTGTTGCAATTAATGGAAATTACTTTAAATTGTCCTAATTATAAGAAGACTTATTTGTTTTCAATAGAAACATAAGATAATCAGTTGTAATTATAACCTCAAAATTACTTCCTAAACATGCAAAACAACAAAAAGTATTTGTTCGATAGAATTGGAACTGTTACCGATATGAATGGATTTGATAAAGCAGAAATTGAATTTGATTTAAATAATAAATGTGAGAAAGCCTTATTAAAGAAGGAGAAATTTTATTATTATGGAAAACCGGTTCCAGAAGATGAACATCTTAGTGACTACATTATTCTAGGATCGAGGGTAAATTTATAAAAATTATTATTTATTTTGTAATTAATTAAGTAACAATAAATTAAGCTATTTTACCAAGTAACATCCCATTTCAATATCATAAAATTAATTTTCATTTATTTATGTTAAAATATGATCTTATTTATTAATCTTTTGCAGGTAATATTTTCTTGTCATGTATTAAATAATCAAGAAAGCAATGATGGACAACATATTTGGTATATTGTGATATGTCAGAACTACGAAGAAAAACCTAATCGACAATTAAATTTAAAAACAGGCCTTGTAAATATGTCGGGATGTGTCCGAGAAGTTCATAAAAGACATGGTGTACTTTATACGGATCACAATCCAGATAAGAATTCAATGATTTATTTTTTAGCCAGCAAATTTTACATTGAGGGCAAAAGATTTTCATCGTCCAGATCACTTAATGAAGTATTACAAATAAATGATATTGTATTTTTTGACGCAATTCCATGCATTCCAGAAGAAAACGAATTCCAATGCAACTGGTTTGCTATCCTTGTCTTTAAAGGCAAACATCCAGATATAAAGCCTAAGCAACAACAAAAATCATATATCTACGACTGTATTAGTCGAGTAAGTATAATTTAAATATTTCTTTTTATAATAGGGAAAAATTTTCAATTCAATTACTACTTAATTTAAAAAATAAAAATTATTTCCTTATCCAAATTGCTACCCAATTAAAAAAAAAACATGAGAATAATTGAAACTACAATTGTGTAAAAATTAATTAATATTTGAAATAATGATTTCTAGTTTACAAATGAGGCTCGAACTGTGTTTTTCTTTGGGACTGGGACTGTAATGAATATTTTCAACGAAGACTTGGGAATTATTCTTGGACAATTCAGACTTAATCAATTTCAAACAGTATTATTTCATCGAAAAAATGCATTCCTATTTAAAGTGTGCTTAGCTAACGTCGATTTAAATCAGATTTTTGTTGAGGGTGAGTGAAAAGTTTTTAAATTACTGATTTATCAGAGAGCTTGGTTAATAGTTTAAATCGGTTGGAAAAGTAAAATTCTACATCATCAGTGTTTTAAAGCCGTGATTCTTTCGGTTTAATTTTAAATACCGACCGAAGATACATTGGACTCTTAAAATTACGAAAAAAAAGTTTCTTTGTAATTAAAAAAATTGCAAATTTAATTATTTTCTTTACAGGTGACAGTGTCAATTTTATTGCTGTAGGAGCACCAAAGGGCTTTGTAACAGATTGGGTTGCTATTCAGGTCTCAGTTTTCAATAATACAGAAAAGGACAAAAAATTTTTGTGTTATCAAAAAAGAGTGGCTGCTAATGGTAACGAAGTCACTTCTTACAAATAAATGTAAACGCAATTAAGATGAAACTACTTTTTTACATAGATTTTATAAATGAAGTGATAATTATTAGATATTAAGCGTGAAGTATTCAATTGTTTACTTGACTTCCTTTACTAATGATATTTGAATATATTGAATATATTCATTTAAATGTGTGATATTTTCTAATGTTAAGAAGTATCGTTAAGAGTTATTGTTTCAAAGAGTGAGATTTAATAAGTCAATAACAATATATTAAATATATTAATTAGCATTAAAAATTATTCAATTAATTAATGTTAATTATATATTAAATATTCTATAAGATTAAAAAGCCTGTTCATTAAAGGAGTATTAAAATTTTTGATAACAATATAGTGTGATTTAAACGAAAGTACAAAATAATGAAACAATAATATATCTAGATTCAACTTGGATGTTGAATGTAAACACAATACGTTTAAGCCTAAATGTTCAATTATTTTCTTGAAAAAAAAAATATTGTAACTCAAAGTCTTCTTACAATTGTCATTGTACTACTATTGCTACTGATGTTCTTCTATTAACCAATGTTAAGACTTAAATAGACTTCATAAAATATATTTTCGTTAAAAAAAATGTAATATTTAATTCATTAAAAATAAAAAAAAGGAATTTCTTTTTTAAAAAATAAAAATGCTTTTATTTTTATAGTCCTTTTTGATTTTTAAAAACGATTTCATTTTAAATTATCAAAATGTGCAAATATCTTAGATATATAATCAGATATTTTGCAAACATTTCCACCCACTGTATATACGCATGAGATACAATTCAAAATAAACAAAAGTTACCCGCATTTGACCATTTTTCTGACACGGACAAGTGGTAAATTATTTTTCAAGTAGGAGGGACAAAAGCGAAAACTTTATAAATTCTTGCTAAAAAAAATTAAATTAGTCTCAAATGGTATACAAAAATTGCTACCAAGAAAATTTAAATGAAGAATATATTAAAATATGTAAATTCTTCATTAGTTAAATTGCAAAAAACGAATACTATTTAAAAGTCAGATAAGAATATAAATTACATTTTGCTTCTCTGATGAAGATTCGAAAATAAAATTCTGCTATAGAATGAAAAATAAGAAAGTGTAAAAAAAACTGACTCACCAATCTGGATGTACCTGTAGCTCTGGTTTTCGAAGTGGAACCTGAAAACATAAAATTGTTAATTTAATTCTGTTCAGTTTTTATCAAATGACAAAAAATAGAATTTTATTAATTTCAATTCATTACAAAGCATTTAATTTTTATATTTTATAAAAATATTAATTCTTTTCTTGATGAATTAAAAATTTTAATTCATTAAGTTTTAAAAAAATATTCTGTTATTATTATAATAATAATTTTATATATTGAAAATTTCACAAAATTGTCTAACGAAATTAATTTCTAATATAGGTATAAGTGTTGCAAGCGAATATTTTTGTGGGAAATCTAAATGATAGAAAATTTTACTTACATCCAGATTCTGATGAATTTTCCATTCAGCCAAATTTTTGATAATTTATGAGACTCTTAATAATCCAAATTTTGAACACAATTAGCACTATTGTAGAAAAATATATATAATTAACAGCTTATTAGCAAGGTTATTGACACTTTTTTCTAAATTTTTATTCTATCTTTTGAGGTTGTGTTTGTTTATTGAAAAGGCACTTTTTCCACAATTCTACACTTTTTATATGACACTGATTTTACATATAACCATAATTGAAGAAACACAAATAAATCTAAATATTCTAAACTGAATTTATATATTTAATAAACACACACGATAAACAACAAACAAAAAAATAAAACACTCACAAAGACAATTTTCCGTAAAGGTTAACGAACTGGAGAATTTTACAACGAATTGGCGGTTAAAATCTGAACAAATTTTTGCGCATGCGCCATGGTTTCACTTTGCAGGAAATTCAGAATGAGCATGCGCAAAAGCAGTTTAAAATTTTTATTTAATATTTCAATTTTAAGAAATATTGAAAAATATTTATATAAATATAAAGAGTTTTAATTAAAAAATAGAATCTAATGAACAAATTATTAAATAATATTATTATAAGTTAATTAAATTTTCAAGTGTTTTCTTTAATTGAAAATTTCTTTTTGAATTTAGCGCATGCGCATAACTCTGCAATAGGCGGAAGGTTCCGTGTTTTCAGTGCTGTGTACCCCTCCCTCCCACTTCATTACTTTTGCAACATTCGAAAAGTTTCTGTACATATTTGTGAATATATTTCCAAGATATTTTCCAAAAAATGTCGTGACATTGTTAATTTTTTATATTTATTGCAATAAAATATTATTGATTCTCATGTGATAATTAGTGGAAAGCAGTAGTAAGTCAAGGATGCACTCGAAGAAAGTCGTATATAATGGTTTGTATTATTTGGTTATAGAAATGGCTAATGGCTCACATATGTACCTGAATTAAAATATTTATAATCTATTTTTCTTTGTTCTAACAGGAATTGCAGTTCATGTTCTCATCAGTTCTGTTGGCTAATCCATTTGTCAGATATTGGCGGCTCTCTAAAATGGTAAGTGTTATTTTTTTTTTTATGAATATATCTGTTCACAATTTCCGTTAATAGAGGTTAGATAATTGAGCCGGTTTTTGCACATTAGCAGTGAATATATATTACTAAAATCAGGGTCGAAAGTTAAAAGCAATTTTAAATATATCTGATTCGTACTTAATTTTAAGGTTAGGTTTTATTAATTGTGCATGGAGCTGAAAATAAGTGTGATTTGTTTTATTATTGTGCATATGAATAAAAAATATATCGTCAGAGTTAGATTTGTTGAAAAAATAATCTTCAACACAAGTTGTTGTGCTTAAAGATTGTTATTATTATTATTTAGAGTCGACAATATAATAATTATTATTTCTTTCGGTGTTAGGCACAAATAGATTGCGAAAATGTTGACATGGGGAAAGATATTAGGAAAAAATATCGTAATGGAAATAATTCAGATCATCGTGGAAAATTAGAATAAATAAATAATATGTTCTACGACATTTTTGATGATCCGAAATGAATAAAAAAAAAAAAAAAACCAGAGATCCGGATAACTTCAAATGTTCAAAATGGTAAGTCGTATATAATATTTTTTTTTTTGCTATTTGATGAATATGTAAAAAAAAGTATGTAAATCTATAAAAAAAATTTAACATTTCTCTTTTTTTTTAAAACGTCTAATTTTTTGAAATTTTATTTAATTTTCAGTTTAATAAATTATAATTAATTTTTTATTATATAAATATATTGTAAAAATGTTAAATTAATTAAATACAAAATTTTTTTTAGGGAAAAATTATTATAATACCAATATTAAAAATTATATTTAAAAAGGTGGATTAGAATTTTATCTTTTCTACATTAGCAAATAATAGTTGAAAAGAAATTTGTGAATACCATTAAACGTTAATGACAATTTTTCCTATTTAATTGTATTTTTAATTTAATTTTGATTTTGATTAAAGTATTTATTCAAATCTTATAAATCTTTAACAAAAGCATAAGAAAATCAAATTTGTCTTTTAAAAAGTCAAATTTCTTTATTTTTAAATAAATTAAATTTACACTGGAAGTATATTTATATTTATAATTGAAAATCTAAACAGTATTTTTTTTGTAGGAAATTACGTACAATAAAAATAATATCAACAAGAAAAGGACGTCCCGAATAGAAGAATTCCGCACGTGTGAGAAAAAACATCACGGGAAAGACGACTACAAAACAAACCAATTATACCTGCATGGAAAATCTTGACGAACTTTCTTTGCGATTCCTGATAATCAGGAGAGTGACGACATAAGAAAACTTCAAATTGGTGAGTCATTTTTAATAATCTTTCTATTATTTTTTTTTTTACTAAGATGAATCATGGCAAATTATTTATACTAAAAAAAACTTGACATATATTTAAAATCTTCTTCGTATATTTGACCTCATCAAAGTTGATTTTAAAGAGCGATAATATGTTTCACGACGACTTAAGCATCAATGCCATCAGACATTGAAATAAATTGCCAAGTTTTCTGCTGTTTAGTAATACCGGGTAAGATCACGAATAGGCAATAACCTCGTCCTTGATAATTTCGCGAAATACTTGCGTTGAATAGAGAATTTTTGGTCTTTGAAGACATAATTTGTCATTCGCATCAGGAACAATTGTTCCAGTAATTCAGTTACTTTCTCTCATTTATTACTGAAAATGATATTCAAATTTTTTGTTCATGCTTAGAGAATTGAATTTTAAAAATCTATTTAAGAGGAACAATGCTTTTTAAACCTCGAAATTATTTCAAGTATCGGTCATAATAATTTTTTATAATTCGAATTCATTTACATAAAAATTAACAACAATAGTAACATTTAATATTTTTTGTTGATCTTGAAACTTTTGAATTTCTATTAAAAAAATATAGTTATTTAATTATTGACAACTTTAAGAAAATATTAAATTAATTTTTCCTATCAATTGTTGATAATTTAAATTTTAAAAATATTTTTTTTAACTTGTCGCTTATAAAATGAAAATAAAATCATACGAAAGAAGCTTTTTTTTTGTTGGTGAAAATAATAAATGTTGATTTCCGAAAGGGTTTAGGCATTTCCGTAGGGACAAACAGGATGAAGCTTCCTGCTTCCTTTGGAATCGATAAAGGGCCGCATCTTAAGAATTTCTTGTCACTCGAGACACGTTTCTTGTCGCTTTGGCCTTGCTTAGCAATCAGTTACGTCGAAAGGTAGAAGAATAAAGTATATATATTGAGGGGAAAAAAGCTCTCTTTCTCTTTCTGAAACTTCCTGCGATGCTGAGCTCAGGGCACGATTGTGGCCGCGATATCCGAGGCGGTTTTGCGAGCGGTTCCGATATTGTTGAACAGTAAAGTTTTGCAAGGCCGCCTCCTTACTTGCGATCTTGTCTCACGATGACTCACGCCTAGCTCGCTGCCTCCTGCGGCTGCCGTTCCTTCCTTCTGCTCCTACAATGGACCGCGACGCTAAAGGAAAAGAAAAAAAAAAACTTTTTCCTTTAGTATTTTCTACTTAAAATACCTCATTTTTCCCTTAAATTAGGAGAATAAAGATAAAAAACTAGGATAAATTTCCGAACTTTATTATGTAGTAGTTGTCAACAGCTTTAGAACGTGGGTTATAACTATATATGATGCAACTATATAAGTTATCGTGGCTATAAAAGTTTTATGTCAGAGATACATATAATAGCTTTCTCTCTTTTTGATTGATATGATAAAAAAAACGAAACAAGGCACATTTTTCGTTTTCGAATTTTAATAATTTGAATTGTGTCTTTAAAAATTTTAATTTCTTTACAGAATCTTTAGAGAATAATTTCAAATTATTAGAAAAAAAAATTTTTTTTCTGTTTTTATAATTTTTTTTTTTATCAAATTTTACACTCTAAAAAATTTTAATTTACAAATATTTGTTAAATTATTACTATCTGAAATTTCTGATTGTTGATCGTAAAAGAATTTTTTATTTTCAATAAAAGTCTCTTAATAAGTATTGAAATTGGTAAAAGAATAAATGAGAAGTGTTACACATGCAATCGTCATAAGAACGTTTAAAGTATATAAATATATGTGGTTAGTGTCCATTATCCCAGGTAATATTCATATTTAACGAGGGAAAACACCTTCTTGTGCTAAAGAAGCTTTGCAAAAAGCGTCACGCAAGTCATCGAACTGCACTCGTAAGACTCGCGCACCACTTGAGGTATTAATAGTACAGGTTGTCGCATCTAGATCAATTTCCTCTCTTTAATTACTCTCTTACCCTATAAATTCTATTGCAATATGTTAACAGTAATTGTTACCTGATTTCTTCAACTTTCATCATTCTTTCCGGAAAATTATAATATTTTCTATTTTTTATTCACATTAAAATGTATAATTTATTTCTTTGAACATTATTCCAGAAGAAAATACAATTATATATTATGTTTCTTTAATAATATTTCTTTAAAATAAAGAAACATAATTTTTTTGACAAATAGGATATTATTTTATTTGTTTAAAAATATTTCCCTAAAATAAAAATCAGCTTACTTTGACTGGATATATAAATTTTATTTTTCATTTTCTGTACAGGTTTAAGAGTTATTATGGAGAAAGAATTGAAAACCGTTTTCTTTCGTTTGATAGATGAGAGGTTCATGAACCTGACGTTTGGTTTAAACTCTTTTTTTCGTGAGTTCAGTGTTCTCTAAAGGCAAACGACAGATTTTTATATATATATATATATTTAGGAAACGACCTTCAGGCGCTATAGATACATGATGATATATTGGAATATCCATTTATTTACGACCGGTTGACCCGAGCGATAGCACACCATATACGGTGAGACTTGTTAATAGGAAGTATCCTTGTCAGGCGCCCGACTGCTCTCGCAGATATGTTCTCTCTTTTGACCTCCGGTGAGAAATAATTTCAAATAAAAATCACACCATCTAAGGGAGTTCTAAGGACCGCGGGTGTCTGATCGAACCAGCTAGCAGTGGAGTTCACGGTTTTTCTCTGACGATATAATATGCTCTGTTTGTAAGCCTTAAAAGTCACTGATCTTAGTCACACATGTTCGTTCAGGGCCGAGGACAACTTGACCCTGAATAAATATACGTATTTGGATATTTCTTCAGAAATAAATATAACCCTAGTGAAAAATATATAGTGATGAAGGTGTTTTGCTCGACAGTTAAATTTGGCACACTGTGGTCATGTCGACCGTATGCTCGCGGTAAATCCTCCAGATGTCTCGGGGGGAATACAGACCCCAAAAGAAAACAATACGCTTCTTTTAGTTTTTTTTTTTTTTTCCCCTCAATACTCCCGGCTTGCAGACCAATTATAATATTTCCTCTTTTACAATGTGTGAGACCATTTATCCGCAAATAGAATTTAAAATTTTATTTTCATAATTATAAAAAAAGAAAAATTTACTAAAATTATCAATATTTAATTAAATTTTTTTTTAATACATTAATTTTCGAGTAATTATCACTTTTATGATATTTTTCTTACAAAAATCTCTTTTTATTTATTTCCTGTCAAGAATAAATTTTAATTTTAACATTGTATCTATATACACATTTTTTTTTTGACTCAAGAATCGATTACATGATTTTTTTTCTTACGAGAATATTCAATCTCGTGTCAATTTAAATCATTTACTGATTTGTTTATGCTTTTTGCTGTAATTTAAACTGTTTAAATTATCATATACTAACAAATGAGAATGTAAATTAGTCAGTTTGGATTATGAGAAGAGATCACGTATGGAATAATGTTTTAATTGTGTTCAATCCATATTATCGTATTCAGTTTCCATTTTAAGGTTTAATAAAAAAAAAAACAAAAAAAATATCAAAGAGACTATGTCTGATGCGAGGACTTTACGAGCAACATATTTGTAATGTCTTTGAAACCTCGGCAGTTTTCTCGCCCAGCTACATAATTCGCGATAATTATGCCCTGAAAAGGTATGATTGAAGGTCGTCCGGGAATCAATATTATTAAGAGGGTGGGGCGTGCTTCAACATAAAGATTTATGATTTTCCATTATACCAAGACTGTGCCCAGTTATGTTAATGTTTGCATCTCTTTAAGGCACAAAAAGTACACGTGTGACTCTGATAATTATATCATTAAAGATAAATTATTATATTGAGATTTTGTAAATAGGTCGATTCAAGTCTGTTTTTTTTCCAATCTTTTTTAATTCTAATGAATTATAATTTGTTTTTCATTTCTCTATCTTGTGAGGAAAAATTGCGCGTATTAAAATTAAGATTATTTTTAAATTCAATTTTAGTCAGAGGATTGACCTTACATTTTTTTTTTTTTTTTGTTTCGAGACGTGCTTTGAATACCTGTCAACCCTTTCTACTTTCCAAAAGTTATTTTATATCTCGATAAAGACGTAAAGTCTGCTCCAATATATAATTTACACTACGTGCTTGGAAAACATTGCAATTGAATTTAGTATAGGTGGAAAAAAATTTTTTTTTGTTTGAATTCGAAAGAAAAACAATTTAAGTTTGCGTATATATAGTTTATAGATGTAACGATCGATTTCACGCAATCCATTTTTGGTTAAGCAAAAAGGAAATGAATTGGAGGTTTTTCGAGTGGTAAATCCTCGATGTAAATACGAGAAACTTTGGACTTGAGCGTGAATTGGCGATGGACCGGTTGAGGTTGATAAAAATGCATCCATAATTCAAGGCACGTTGCGGCTTGTCAGAAACATTGAGAGAGAGAGAGAAAGAGAGAGAAAAAAGTAGCTTATGCCCTTAAACGTTTCGTTTTACCGCTACTGCGGTAAGTGCACCTCTATTCAACATTTTGCACCCATAGATCAGATCTATTTATATATATATACTTGACTATCCTAAACATGTTTGATTACAAATCAATGCAACTGACCTGAATGAAGCTGAGGAAAATTTTAAACGAATATAATATATGCAAAATAGATTACTATCTTTTTTGTATATTTTTTTTAAAGGTGGTTTCACGATTTCTTCTGTAATTTTCAAATTGTTCCCTCTTTTCAATATTATAACAATAATCGTTTTAAAAAGAAAAAACGTGAATATTTTTTCAATAAATTTCCAAGGGTGTTTGTTACAACTTTGAATTTTTTAAAATGTTAATTTAGAAGCAGTGTAAATTTTTTTTCTATAGGATCATGTGAATATTTCTAAGTAAACTTTATCATAAGTTATAATAATCTTGTTAACCCTGATATAAGCTATCTTGATGTCAAAAAAAGTTGTATGTCCATTCATATAATGTG